ACGGAGGCGCTTTGTGATCCTTCTCGGTGACACGATTGAAATATTTCCTTGGAGAGATTTGAGGTTCTTATGTATTGGAGAAAAGAGTGAGCCAACCTGTCTGTTTGTGCCAGCGCCAGAAAAGAGTGTTTTGTGTTCCTAATGTCTGAGTTTACAGAAACATTCGGTAAATGCGATTATCCAGATCGAACATGCAGAAACCGGTGAGTCAGCGGGACGGAATATCCCAGAACAAGAGTCAGCGATCAGGTCTCACCGGGGGAACTAGTCAAAGCTACTGGTGATGTTCACTGTAATAGCTCATTTGTAGCAAATGAGAGTGGTTATACTCGTGTTCTGCGCAATGCACAGTGAGCCTGGGGTGCCAAGGGCTGTTTTGATTGGCTCGGAGTTGTCCGTCAATGCCAGATAAGCTGTCCCAGCGATAACCGAGTCGCCTAGTTCTCCGTTAGCAGACTAGCACGCATATAACACATTCCCCGCGTCCCCAAACCTTCGCCGACCGTAGCTCAATTACATCAGCTGATATTGTAATGGACGACTCTCGACCAACGAAGCGCGCTCGACAAGCCTGCGAGCCATGTCGGTCAGTTTCTCATGTCATACAGGAAGTTCCATTGCTAATAATGGCCACAGTCGTAAGAAGTCTAAGTGCCCTGGGGAGAAGCCCGTGTGCTCATACTGCGAACGCCTTGGTCAGATATGCGTGTATGAATCAAGCTCTGATGGCCAAAGTCAACGAGCTCGTTCGGATAGATCATTGGTGCGTATATAATTGGTGGCAATATCCGTCAGTGGCTAACATGCGTTGCTTGTAGGAGCTTCGGATGGAAACCCTAGAAGAGAAATTGGACCTATTTATCGATCGCCTTGAGTAAGTGATACGTCGGGCTTCAAGTTAAGGATCAGAATCTAACACATTTATCTCAGTCCTGTGATCAATGATTCACGCCGCCGTTCAGCGTCACAGCAGGAAGGAGGAGGACATACACCGAGATCCATGGTCGGTCAAGATGAGCTACCATATGCCAGTGAAATCGTAGACCTTGGACAAGCGTCAGGGTTAGCATCTCTTCCGTTGTATGTAGAACGCAGCTGACGTACTCTAGCCCATCATCACTCGTTGAACCCAGAAGTGATGAATTAGCCTCTCTTTATCTAACCTGGCTACATCGGCAGCCCTTGGTCCTCTTCAACGCCGAGACATTTGCAGAGTCGCTACCACGTAGAGAGACAGAGCTGGTCTTGGCACTACAAGCATCGTGTCTTCGGTTTCCTCCTCGGTTATTGAGTCAACAGTATCGCCAACGTCTTCATGCCATGGCACAAGCATCGAGGGAAATCGTGATGAACAAAGTCTTCGGTGGCCGGGTTGATTGTTCTGTGTTACAAACACTATGTCTCCTCATCCTTTTCGAACATGCCGGTATGTGATATGCAATCTGAAATGTTCTGACCATGGCTGACTTAGATCTAGAAGGAAATACTGTCCAAGCAGGGCTATATCTCAGCACAGCGATTCAGCTACTGTGTGGCGTTCCGAAGTGGAGCTTCCTCGGTGACGCTGTGGAATTCAATAACTGTATTCGAAGTATCTTTGTGCTTCATCACGTACAGGGCAGTGTTTCTTCAGGTGTATGGCCCACTACCATGTCACACGGAGAGGACTCAACACTCGGAACAGCAACCTGCTCGGCGTGGCTACTTCCGCCAGAGAAGTCCCTACAATGCGACATGGACCGAGGGATCATGAGATATACCACCCCTCTTGCTCAAGCTTGGCGTGCAGTCCGATCATACGCTTCCCGTCGTGTTTTCTCAGACACACTGCCCCCATGGAATCCGCGCTCCGATTACTCACAAGTTACATATCGACACCTTGAGATCGACTGTAGTGTACCGCTCAAATACCGATTCTCTGCTAACCAGATTGACAAGCAGACACCTGAAACTCTGCAACAAAACAGAGGGTATTGGGGTCCCTACCTGTTCACCCAATTCGTCTATGCTTCCATTCCTGTTATTCTCAATCACCCATTTCTTTTATCCATGCGACTACGACACTTTCGACACACTATGCCACAGTCATTCGTTAACAGCTCTTTCGACGCGATTACTCGACACATCGGATGGATCATGTATCATCTAGACGTGTTGGAGAAGATGGACTATCGAGTATCTGACCCGACCTTGGCCCATATTGTTGTAGTAGTTGCCACCATTCATCTGCAGCACAGTTTTGTGGAAGACTTTGCCTTGCGTGAGAAGGCCAAGGCTGGATTTGAGAAGTGTCTCGAGTTCTTGAGATGTATGGGTCTGACATGGCATGGCGTTGCTATCATGGTGAGTAGCTCCGGGACTGTAGCGACAAAACGGAGTACTAATTAGGGTTGAAGCATGAAAATCTACGAAAACTGCAGCAGAGCATACAGGTTGTGCCACTAGCCAGCGAAGAGCCTGGTCTGGGAAGACAAACACGGCAAAAGTTCACCATCGATACGAGACTTCTTTGGGATATTCTGTCCTATGAGCATGCTGGTAGACCGGATGCACGCGCCGACGAATCTATTTACAACGGCCTGGCATCAACCCACCAGGATACGGCAAGAGGCGGTAACGAAGACGGCGATGCATATGATTTGGTCGGCTCAGCTGGAATCATTGGGCACAAGACCGTGCCAAAGGACACGCCTCTCTACGCTCCGGGTGAGGGTGAGGTTAGCCACCCCATAAGAGGCCGTTTTCCATCTGATGCTTCGGGATTGTTAGGATCTCTTCAACAGAATATCCAAGAGGGGTTCGGATCTGCTATGGAACCTGATAACATATTTCCGCAAGTGCATGACTTTGGAAGGGCAATCGATGAGTGGCTTAGCCTGGACTGGGGAAACACGATGCTTTGAAGTATTGGAATTGGCTATCAAAATCTTTTTTTAGCTATACTGGTCACTATATACAAACTATCACCACTTGAGACTGTCAGACTCAGCACATGCCTCTACCCTGTTACAGAAGTCAATATCGCCCTGCCCGTTCCCTGACTGTCCACTCTTCGGTGTCGCTGGCCAGATCTCATGACCATCAACCTCTTCCTGCTTATGATGATCCATGACTAGCTTTCGCGTAGTCTCTTGAAAGAACAGAGGGCCCTGGTACAAGGACTTATTAGTAAGCTACCAACGACTTGAGAGGCGGCTCATACCTTTTCTACACGAGGATGGAGTTCGCCGTTGACAAAGATACCAGCGTTCAAGTTCTTCTGCGCCGCATTACAGAGATCTTTGTCTTCTTTGAGGATCTGCTTAAAGCAGTCGCTGATCTCGTTGAAGTCTTTGTCGGAAGCACTGTTGGCTCTGTAGACTTCGTACTCCATCTTTGTCTGCGATGCGGAAATGGGGATGCAGCGCATGATGTAAAAGAAGGTGTGTCTGAACATTAGCACAGGCTAGACATTTATGGGAATCCGTGTGCTTACGAGATCGTGATGGAGGCGTTGGGATAGTAGAAAGTACTGTAAATACCCATGCCGTCTTTATCGGGTTTATCAACGTTGAAGTGCTGTATGTGGCCGCCAGCTGTCTCAACCCAGTATTTCGACAGGTCAGTGAGAGCATTAAGTGCGGGATGTCCTGTTGGACAGTGGTAGCACTGATCACGTTATCTCAGCGGCAGTTAAATGGGAAGGTCTCAAGTAACTCACTTCGTTGTAATTATCTGCTAACGTCTTCCAGTTATAGTCCCCAATCATTTCCCACTGATGATCAAAGTGATAAACTTCCATGTCGAAGGGCTGAAGACGTGGTTGGGTGTCAACACCGGCAAAGTCGTCGTTCCAAGCGACAGTAGGTGTAGGGCTGGCATCCATGTTGATCCAGATAAAACCGAGTTTGTCTACATGGACATGGATCGGGAAGAGGTTGTTGGTTGACTTATCGAATGTCGGAACCTCTTGGTATTTTGGAGCCTTGGCCAATTTGCCATCGAGTCCATAGGACCAACCTTAGACTGTTCAGCATCTCGCCTCCATACGCAAGACATATCAACCTACCGTGATACTTGCAAGATAGAATGTTGATTCTTCCTGTATCTTGCTCTACCAGCGGGAATGCTCGATGTCGACAGACATTATGATGGGCTCTGATGTCGCCTTGGCGGTCTTTGATCAAGAAAAAGGTAAAACTAGCCTGTGTTATACGGAGATAGTCACCCACTTCAGTAAATCTTGCCCTGTGTGATACTACTATCCATTTTTTGGAAAAAATAGCTCGTCGTTCCAGCTCATACATCGCTGACGAGCGATACCATGATGCAGGCAAGGCCCGGGTGGTCTGAAGCTCGGCCTCTTTCGCTGTACCAAAACTAAACCAACGACTCATTGTGGTTTGAGATAACAACTGACCACAGGATCGAAGAACAATCGATAGAACGGATGTGAAGCTTCGATGGTAAGGGACTAATCGGTCGTGTATGATAAGCTTCGTCTATGAATGCAAGCCTCCAGTCCCGCCCTTATACCTTTCCATTGCTCATGCATGATGCGTCTTTCTGTCTAGGATGACACATCATTCATTTCTTACTCCGCACTCTTCATTCATCCATCAATCGCTCCCTACTTCCACTTGGCACACTTGCCTTTGAACCAATGAGAGTAGGTCTAATCACGATTTCTCACATTCCAGGTCAGAATCACGGCCCGGTTTCCGTACCCACAGCACATCAGACCGTGTGATATGGCCTTATCTCAACGCTAAACCATTTTTATCTAGCGTCTTAGTTATCATTCTCCGTACCCACCAAGACCCGGACCGTTCCCGGCTTTGTGTGTATCCCTTGTGAGGTGTCATGATAAGCAGTGGCTTCTGGAGATGAGCGGCCAACACTGGTTAAATCCAATGTTAATGATATTGCAGTTATTATTTTGAAGATTTATTATACTAGTCTCACCTGGAAAGTTCACTTGTCTAGTAAATTTATTTTGCATCCTCGAAAATACCGTAATCATGTCCACCGAACAACAGCAAAAGCCAAAGCATATCCGATGCACTATTATCGGAGCAGGGTAAGTATCATTCGCACCCCCGGTGGAATCATTTTGGCTGATATGTCCAATCAGGGTATCTGGTATTCTGATGGGTAAGTTCTTGACCATTTCATTCATCGAAGAACTACGTTGACAGCGCTTAGCATATAAGCTGAAAAGCCATCTCAATGACTACGTGACCTTTCGGATTTTCGAAAAGTCGCCAGACCTTGGTGGCACATGGTTTGAGAACAAGTATCCCGGCTGCGCCTGTGACGTCCCGAGTCATTGCTATCAATATTCCTTTGCTCCAAACCCTTCATGGTCGAAATTGTTAGTCTCCCAAATTCGAATTCGTGTTCGTTGCTAATGTAATCAAGCTACGCATCATCTGATGAGATTCAAGGCTACTTGAAGGGAGTCGCTAAGCACTTTGATCTCGAGCGATACATCTCCTTCAACACCAAGGTTGTCTCAGCACGCTGGTCTGAAAGTGATAGTACCTGGACGGTAGAGTTAGAAGATGGTTCCCTCGTGACATCAGAAATTCTATTCAATGCTGGGGGTATACTCAACCACCCTCAAATCCCCAACATTGAGGGACTTTCCGACTTTACAGGCCCGCTACTGCATACTGCATCATGGGACCATTCGATTGACCTTCGAGGTAAATGTGTCGGCGTCATTGGTGCGGGAGCTAGTTCGATCCAATTAGTTCCTTCGATACAGCCTCTGGTCCAAGATATGAAAGTATTTATTCGCACACCTTCCTGGATTGCGCCGCCCGTAGCTTTGCCTGACCCCAATGCGACGAACTACACTTATACCACAGAAGAGAAGGCAATCTTCGAGGCAAAGAAGGATGTATATCTCGATACTAGAAAGGAACTGGAGGATCAATTCAACGGGATGTTCCGCCTCTTTCTTAAGTCGAGTCCGGAACAAAAGAGAACACGCGCCATGTTCGAGTCACGGATGAAGCAGCTGATCCCCGACCAAGACCTCCAGAAGAAGCTGATACCTCCATTCGAGGCAGGTTGTCGAAGGATCAACCCTGGAGAAGGTTTTCTTACAGCCCTGCAGAAGCCGAATGTTGAGCCAGTATTCGACCCGATCGAAAGAGTGACCCGTGGTGGCATCGTGGCCGGTGGCAAGGAATATCCAGCAGATGTCTTGGTGGCAGCTACAGGCTTCAACACCACCTTCCGGCCTCGTTTTCCTATAATCGGTCGCAATGGTACCAACCTTCAAGATGCATGGCAAGAACACCCTGAATCTTATCTGGGTCTCGGTGTTGCAGGCTTTCCCAACTACTTTATTTTCTTGGGACCGAACACTCCGATCTCAAATGGAAGCTTGATGGGTAAGTAGCTGTGTTATCGCCATTGATAATTGTTATGCTGACTTCTGAAGGTTCTGTGGAAGCGACCGCCGACTACTTCATTCGTCTTCTTCACAAGATGATTCGACAACGTGTCAATTCGTTTGAAGTGCGAGTTGATGCCCAGAATGACTTCAACAATCACACACAGAAGGTCATGCAAGACATGGTGTGGACAGGAACGTGTCGTAGTTGGTGTAAGTCATATCCGGTGATCACCTGCTATCAGCTAGTTGACCAGCTTGCAGACAAGCAGGGCACAAACGGAAAGGTAACTGGACTCTGGCCAGGCAGTTCACTGCATTACATCCAGGTCCTCTCCGAAGATCGCTGGGAAGATTATGAATGGACCCATGAATCAGAGAGGTACAGCTACTGGGGCCATGGCCTGTCATGGATAGAGGAGCCTGGCCTTGATCCACTGGGCGCATCTAAGCAGGACATGATTGAGGCGATGACAACGCTGCCAAAGAAGGACTCTGACTTGAGCTTCTATTTGTGGGAGAGCAGTCCTCTGCCTGAAACCTGCTTTTCAAGTGGGCAGTCGGAGGAGATAGCCCAGGATGGCAATGACTTGGCATGGAAGAATGTCTTGCAAACGACCACGCCTGCAGATGTCGACAAACATGCCGCCGTAGCTTGCATTACTGTACAAGTTTAGAAGAATAATAAATCTCTGTAACTAGAAGTCATTGTTCAGGCAGCTTGGATCCCGGTGGCAATGTAGGGAAGTGGATATTGTCTGAAGTTCAGATAATCACATACCAAATTTGATGGTTTCTCAGGTGGCGACTTCTTCAATTATGAAAAGAGCCAGAGCTCAAGCTTAGTCATACGTGTTCGTCCGTTGAATGTGAAAGACTGCATCAGGGCATGGTAAAGCAAAAGTAAAACGTGACACTGGCCGATCTATCGTGGCCAGTAACGGTAAGACTACAAAACTCTGTCAATTAATAACAATTACATGGAACTTTGGTTACTGTCAACACAGACTGTGCTATCTTGCTATCTACAGCTTCGCGCGAGGTGCCTGACTCCATAGTATGGGCAACGGTCCATCAGGCCCATATACAGGATCGTCTTCAGGCATATCTACTTCATCAATGGTGTTCAGAAACACGCTCGAGGACTTCTTTCCCATCTCATTCCGCCACTTGGGGCACCCCTACATAACATCAATACTTTGTCACGTACACGAGAGAAAGTAAAACGTACCTTTGGATATACACCAATGTACCTGTAATCTGAAGAGCTCTCGAGAGATGAATGGGCCGTTCCAGCTGGTAAGACGACAACATCGCCTGCTCTCACAGGGACTTCTACGCCCATCCCCTTCTGAATCCTGCCTAATAAGAGGGTTGAAGAGCCTCGGAAAATACCTAGAAATTGTCATAAGAATACTGGCTGAGGGGTGAAAGGAGAGACTAACCGTAGCACTCATGGCTGTTGGGATGGAAATGGCGAATGGCAATATGTCCCCAAGTCCCCTGAGCGATGATTTAGAAAAAGAAGGGAGACAAAAGGAAATAGCTTGAACATACCCTCTTTTCCCACCGATGTGTAGCCAGGAATCTCGTTGCCGTCTCTTCGGTTCTCGGCTGAGGTAGCACATCGCGGTACACCAGGATCGGAAGTCGGCTGTTAGGCGCATCCTCCGTTCGGGGAACAAGGTAACACTCGACGTTTGAACTCATCATGGTAAAGTTAGCCGATCTACCCAGGATACGCCAGCACTCAGCACTCGTCTCACCATATAAGTGAAGATGCGCTACCCCGCGTTCGCTGGTGATAGGAGGTGGCCAGGAACACGGGCCGCTTCCGGGTTTGCGGGGTTGATAGGTATCAGCTGCTCACCTTTTGGCCTGGAAGCTTATCTTAGATAGAGGGTGAAAGCGGTCCGTTCTCCGGAGGCTTGCAACTTGCGATGGAATCAGAAAGGTTGGCTTGAAACCTTGTTAGCGTGTTGATAGGCAGATGTGAGGCTGGTGCGAATGGAAGCGTTGGGATTAGAAAGAGGTTTGTAGATAAATCGCGTCTCTGCATCCTAGTCCCCACCAGCTTTCGAGATCACAAACCAAACTTCCCTATTTGACCTTGTTGTTCATTCCTCTACATTGTCCCTTTCAACAGTCATTATGGTAACTCCTCAGGAGAACATGGATGCAGCATCCATTGGTGAGAAACAGGACGGCAAGATGTTAGAGACATCTCTCGACCACGTCCCAAGTCATGCCAATGGAACAGTCGCCACTATCGATGGTATAGATCCTGCTACTTTGCATAACGACGAAGTGATCACCCAGGCTATTCAAGCCATTGGCTTCGGCAAGTTCCAATGGCAGCTAACCTTCTCCTGTGGTTTCGGCTTCCTAGTCGATCAGGTCAACCTCATCACTTACATTAACAAGTCCTTGAACTAACGGTGTTGCTAGATGGTCCTTGTATCGATCAGCCTCGTTACGCCCCAAGCAGCCATGGAATTCGGCCCTCGATATGCAACTCTTCTATCTGCGTCTTCGTACGCTGGCCTACTCATCGGCGCTTTATTTCTTGGCACACTCGCCGATAACTTCGGCCGACGATTAGTCTGGCAGGCTTCTATCTTTGGATGCTCTATCATGACTACCATTGCTGCCTGTTCTCCGAATTGGGCTGCTCTGAATGTCTTTGTTGCTTTGATAGGTCTGTTTGCTGGTGGCAACCGTAAGTCTTCGTTATCTCAGTATATAATCTCTTGCGATTGCTAAGCTGAACCTCTAGTGGCTATCGACTTGACACTGCTGGCGGAAGCAATTCCTCAAGAATGGTCTTTCATCCTTTCAAGTCTCGCAGGAATCTGGGGCTTCGGAAATGCTGTCACGGGCCTGATTGGTAGTTACCCGCGCGCAACATGATCACATTCACTGACAATCCACAGCCTGGCCTCTTCTCGTCAACTTTGGGTGTCCCAGCGGCTCAACCCCCGATACCTGCAGTCGCAGCGATAACATGGGCTGGCGATATCTTTACATCACTCTTGGTGGACTATGCCTCGTCATGTCGCTCATCCGAGCTTTCGTCCTACGATCCCTCGAGTCCCCAAGATGGCTCGTCTCTTGTGGAAAGATGAAAGAGGCTGCGGAGGTTATAAACCATATCAGCAGGATGAACAAGTCTGATTATCATGTCACCAGTGACAATTTCCTGCAGCCTGAGCAGGAGAAGTCTGATGGTGAAGTTCGGTCCTGGCGTGCGAATCTTGTTCGAGCTTCGAGACTCTTCTCTGGAGCTAAGCAGATACGTCTGATGGTAGGTCTCATCATGATCTGGGCACTTATCGGCATCGCGTAAGTCCATCTATATGCAATCTCTAGGAAGTCACTAATAGACCATAGGTACCCTCTCTACACCATCTTCCTCCCCTACTACCTCGCAGCCCACGGCGCCAACTTCGGCGAAACCAGCAACTACATCACCTACCGCGACTGGACCGTCTCCTCCATCGTCGGCATCTTCGGCCCCGTCCTCAGTACCATCCTCGTATCATCCCGCTTCTTCAAGTCCAAGCGCTCGATGCTCCTCACCGGTGTAATCTGCGCCGCATTCTCCGGCGCATTCACGTCTGCCAGAACAGCCGCAGAAAACCTCACATTCTCTTGCATGATCAACTTTTCTCTCAACGCTCTGTATGCTATTGTTTACTCGTACACGCCACAGGTCCTTCAGGTGCAGAATCGTGGGATGGGAATGGGGTTGCTAATGGCAGTGGGGAGGATGGCGTCACTTAGTGCGCCGTTCATTGCGACTTTTGCGGATGTTACGACCTCAGCGCCGATTTGGGTTGCGTGTGCTTGTTTCTTGGCCATTGGTCTTATTGCGATGGGTCTTCCAGCTGATACGAGACCCTATGTGTCGAAGAAGGTTCAGCAGTCCAGTGTCTGAGTAGGCATTGTACAGTGTTTGTAGTAGCTATCGCAGTGTTCTGTAGTAGTCAGATTAGGTGCAAAGATTATGGATATATCCTGCTAAAGTATTTTCTCCTTGAACTGGTGAAAAGGTTGAATAGCAGTATGTAACCACAATGACACTTGATTGGATTTTGAGTGACATTTGTCTTATAACTAATCTATCGAATAAGGACACCATAGCGCTCTTATTTAGGATTTTTACTAAGGTTGAGAGTTTAAAGGAGGCTCCAGCCTCAAGACGTAAAGGTAAAAGAACACCAATAGCCACATATACTGACTGCGCTCTCCTACCTAATATCTTCCTTTTGGCAGAAAAGCTCGATATCTTAATGACTTGGTCCAAGTTATGAGGAACATTTCGTTATCTTCCCCAATATTTCTTGATATCTTTCAAGTCTTCAGCCAACGCAACAGGGTTATCCAGGCCCGAGAAGTGTCCACCAAACTCGTGATCTGAGCAGCATCATTAGCCAAACAGCGCAAATTGCTAAACAAAGCGACTACTCACTTTTGTAGGAAACCAGATTTCCCACCCGGCCAACTAGCTCTGGAGGCCAAAACCCGGGATTATACTTAAACGCGCTGAAGAGCAATGGCGCATCAGTCTCGGCCTTGGTATAGTTTGTCATAAACCCATTGGGGTTAGAATAGTAGATATATACGGATGATGCAAAGCTCTTAGTCAAATAGTAGAGTGCAACGGTCTTTAGCATTTCGTTATGGTCCAGAACGGACGGAGGGGTTCCAGCTCTTGGATCAGACCCTGCCAAATATCAGCACGATTACCAGATGTTATAATGCTTAGACTTACAAACAATGAGCTTCTCTACGATCCAGGATAACTGCCCAACTGGATTATCGTAGAGGGCGAGGCCGATGGTGTTTGGCTAATAATTAGTCTTTAGAATGATGCACCGAGACTAGCATTCAGGCTTACCTTTGTTGCTTGCTCCATGTAATAAGCATTTCCAGTTGTAGCCCACTCCTCAGCGACCTGAGCCTCAAATTCCTCAAGAGGTGATAATTTGATACCCTCCGCCGCGAGCTGGGTTCTGTACAAGGGGACGAACGGTAGGAATGAGAGATGAACCAATCGCACAGAGGTATTGAAATTGGCATAAAGACTGTATGCAACACCTGACCCCCAATCTGTGCCGTAGGCGGCGTACTTGGGATATCCCAAGACTTTGGTCATGAGCGTGTTGAAGAGCCTGGCTGTGTCGTCGACTGTCCAGGTCGGCGGTGGTGCTGATGAGAATGCAAAGCCTGGAAGGGAGGGTATGATGATATGGAAGTCATCCCTGAGCTTCTCGATCAACGGAATGAATTCTAGAAACGACCCTGGCCATCCGTGATTAAGAACCAGAGGGATGGCTTCGGGATTATCGGATTGTTGATGGATGAAGTGGATGGTTTGGTTTTCGATTTCAGCGGTGAAATGGTGCAACCTAGTTGTATCTGTCAGTGTCAAAACTTCAATGGCGATTTGACGACGAAGGGCATACTTGTTGAGCTCTTGTTGCTCAGCGTTCCAGTCGAAATTCTCGATTAATTCCTTTCTCAGGGATTGCAATGTCTCTAAGCTAATACCGGCATTTGGGTCAAAATAGTCGCCTTCAGTAGGCAGCCTAGTTCTCTCAGCCAAGTCAATCATGTGAGGGACTCCATCGGATAGGTCAACGGTAAAGGGCTTCAAATTGAAGCTGCTGCCCTTCCCATCACGAGACATAGGGGATGCGGTGACTAGGAATAATGAAGAAGTGAGGAAAGGAATGCTTAGAAAGGGTCTCATTGCGAATAGATAGTGATGATGGCTTTTGCGTTCTGTATATAGAATGGCTTGTTCCGTTGACATTCCACGGCGTTGCTTAAATATTCTCTGCTGCCTATAGCTACTATGTAATTCCACATCTGTAGAAGAATTAATTAGAACACGATGCTTTGAAATCACTTTGTCGTATGAGAGCCCACTGAGTAATTGAGTATTATAAATCTGCAAGTTTAATGGAAGCACAGCTTACACCGTGGCTGTTGACCCACTGGTAGTGTAACATTGGTGGATACTCTGACAGATGTCTACGGGGATCAACATCGGATCGGATACAGGGCACTATTAGTTGATTCCGGAGTCTCGCTCTCATCTGGCAACAGATGCGTCGGTTTTCAGAATTTATTCTCGCTCCTTGCTACATAAACAGTAAAGCTTTGGAAACAAGAGGGCTGGTGGCCCGTTTGTCAGTCTGTAGAATATTCTAACCGTTACATGGAATTAAATGTCATTGTTTATGCTTCCTTGATTTTGGACCGGCATTCGGCCGAAAGTCGTAGCTAGCCAGGATGCTGCCTCTGTCAGACGGTCGAGGCAAATTGACTAGAGTGGAGGGATCAGATTCCTTCATACCAATATGGTGCTATCTGTAGTCTTTAGCCGTTACGAAGGGTTTTCACATCTGAAATCAAATGGCGATATATTTCTTACGCCCTGTAGCTACTATTTGTTGGTATCTCTCAGCTTGTTACTCTAGGCCTCAACTCGAGGCGTGCATTCTACCTCTTCTCCCATTGATACAGCATTCTGTGAGGGCTACGCCTAGTAGATATAAAAGACGTGGTCACCATCTAGCATACACTACTCCCTCATAGCCTTTCAGCACAATACCGATTTTTTATCTCGAAAAAAGCCACGAGTCTGGTGTCAGAGGGCTAGTAGCAGGTAATGGTAATATCTGCTGTAGCGAAGGTTGTGTTTGAAGTCAAGTTCGCCGTATAGGTTCTAGAAAAGTGTTAGATAAAACTTAAATACTGTAATATTGTAATTTTCCAGAAGCACCCTTTGGTTTTTCCAACTATATATCGCTATTAAATGGCTTTCTTGATTGTGCGGGAAGAAAAAGAAAGTGAAAAAAAAAGTCCTTGTAAAATCAATAGTAGCAGTAACGCACTTTGTGATAGATTGGGATTCTGGTCCATATGTGCCCTTGGCGCCGGATATGAGATCATGCAGTGAAATCGGCCTTACTAGGCAACCGTCTTTCAAACTGAATTTGCTTTTTGGTGGCTGTGCTGATTAGAGGAAACAAGGCACTCAGCTATGCAGGGGTACCTGGGAGAGCCTTATTTGCGACCAACAGATGAAATAACGCCCCTCAACCCTCTTTCTCTTATTTTTCTCAGCCCCTCCCTATCTTCAGCAAACTTAACGACGTCCATTGAACCATTTCATCGCGGCAAAATGGACCCGCTCTCCATCGCTACCTCTGTGGTTAGTGTGTTTCTTCCCATTTACCCAACCTACAATACTGATCTAATCGTAGGTAGGGCTAACGGCAACGTGTCTCTCGACTTGCAAAAAGCTTCATGACCTTGCCGGGGAGTATGAAGATGTGCCAAGCATCATTGCTATGATATGCTCCGAGTCGACTGTCATCAGCATGGGGCTGTCTGAGCTACAATCTAAGATTTTACACCGCGACGATCTTGCACAGGCTTGGGCTTCTCGAACAGATATTTTAAATGTTTTTGAGGTTGCATTAACAGGCTGTATGACGGTCTTTAGTTGTTTGGAAGCTGAGACGAGGAATCTCAAGCAAAGGAACCCTACAGTTTTAGCTAAACTCCCTGGCGTCTTGGCTAGACTTAAGTTTATATGGAATCAGGACCGGCTTAAAGAACTCTTGGAAGCACTCAGAGGTCAACAGACATCAATTACATTTCTCCTAAATATTCTTGAAATGTCAGTATATCATTCTGTTTTTATTTAATATGCTAATTCGTATTTAGGGATACACTTTCTAATATTCAGAAAGACATCCGCAAACACACTCACAAGATTGAGGCTACAGCAGCCGAAGCTCAATCTCTACAATCCCGGATTCCCAGCATCAAGATTGAATCCCAATCCATATTCGACAAAGACGCCTCTAGACTCAGTCTCTTTGAGGCAACTTCAAATTTCGCGCCTTCAGAACTCGACTTCCAGTTTGATGACTTAGTCATTAATAGCAATGCGTATAGGCGAGCGTTCGCCAAAGCTCATGCCGAAAACCAGGAGTCATACAAACAAATTGAAGGTCGAGACGTTAATATTGATCCTGCTACACCTAGAGGATTGAAGTTCGACGAATCAACGACTCGTCCGAAAGATACACCACTTGGCGCCTCACAAATACTAGTATGTGATGCCGTTGAAGGGCCAGCCGAAGAGGGAGCCTTGTCTCCTGAAGGTCAAACGGAGTCACTGGAAGAAGCAACCAAGGAGGGAAAGCATCAAATTGTTAATTTGAACAGCTCTAGCTCCCAAGATCTTAATTTCAGCCAGACTGTGTCTCAGCTTGTATGCAACAAGTGCTTACTCGACATCACAGGAAGGTCTGTGACGGCCTTGGGCTATGCATGGCATCCAGATTGCTTCCAGTGTTATGTGAGTGTCACAATTAAAATCTTAGGCAAGCTAGAACTAACCGAGGCCCATACAGGACTGTGGTGGGCCGCTTGCTGGTCACTTTTTCCCCTCAAAGGAACAAGGAAACGAGCATAAACCCCTTTGTGAGAAGGACTACATTCTCAGGCTAGAATCAAAGTGTTTCAAGTGCGACGAGGCACTTGGAGGAACTTATATTACCACTTCCCGGGACCATGCCTTGGAGTACAGCCATCAGGAGCAAGCCTATCATCCTCAACATTTTACCTGTGATGAATGCGATACCATCCTGAGTATTAATAGCTACCACGCTTAACGAGAAAGGGGTATACTGCGAGTTACACTTTTGCCGGAACTTTGCAAATTACTGTAGTGGCTGTGGTTTCCCTATCCTTCGATGCTCATATCTCCGGCAGCCTGATGAGGCAGGAGGGTATAGTAGGTGGCATCTTGCATGTTTCTCCATGACTCAAGACTGGGGTCTGCAAATTCCAGTATCAGATAAAGGCCGCAAGTATCTCGCAACTATTCAGACAGGTTCAATTCGGGACCTCATACCCGACACCCGCGAAAAGCATATTGATTGTCTTCAGCAAATATATCATTTTGGTTCACATATTCTGTCCACCGTTATGGAGAATTTTCGCCTGGCTTTGGAATTTCGCCAAAAGTTCTCCAGTGGGTACGGGCCCTTCAAATACTGGAGTAATATGTTGTTTGAAATCTCGCGCCTTTTTCAGGCAGTAGCCCAACTTTCCAATGATGGTAAGTCCGGTTTCGCTCGTATGCTTGATGGAAATGGCATTTGACTGACATCACCAATGCTAGTTTCTGATGCTGAAATTAGAGCATTCTCTCGGACGTTTCATGTGGTTCTCGCAGACCTTGACTTAGAATCAAATGATTCCTCTTATGTAGCTGCTGAGCGGATTCTAGCAGCTCTCAAATCCGTCCTCAAGGTGGCATTGAGCACACTTCTGGAGATGGATCATGTCTCTTGGGATGCAATGCCCACTGAGGTCGATGACTTTTTGATGAGACTTAATCCCGACACTCCTCTAGTGTCTCATCCTAACTACAATAGGCTACCCACTGGCTGCGAAGTGTTTCTGAGATGCGAGGAGTGTAACGAAACCCTGCTCCACGACGTCTTCACTGAAGCTTCTGAAGCAGGTCATAGATGGCATCCCGAATGCTTCCGATGTCTGGTATGCGGGAGTTCAGAAGGGGTCGTTTCACCTCCATCACTGCAGGCTGCTGGTTCATACAAATGCCAGCTAGAGTCATGTAGGTGGGAGGGTATCATTGAGTTGATACCAAGTCACGCTCTAGTTATCCATCATATCTGGCGAAGTTACCTCCTTCTCAAAAAGAAGAATGCTCCACCCGAAGTCAGTCCTCCAGTGGCAGGGTTCATGGAAAGCTTGATCTCGGGGGTCATGAATTGGTCTTATCCGTCTAAGAAGAGACTTCCACCATCTTGATGCATTATCTTATCCGTTAATATTACTTTGCGGTTGATGAACGTTTGGTATTTGCTGTTATACCTGTTAGACCCATAGCTGCTCAATCTCGGTGCAGTGGGTTCATACCCATATAACAGGATCTTCGTGTGATGATTGTTCCCTCACAACGGATAGTTCCCATTTATAAGATCAAGTGGCTATAATATTCCAGCCCACGCAAGCACTGTGTATTGGCTTTCCCGGTCAATCACTTAAAGTGGTTTTCTTCTTTAGTTAAATACTTCTCCGTGACTTAAAAGTACACAAAGGGCTGGATCACCATCCAGCATATACCACACCCTCATAACCCTTCAAAACAATGCCACCCTCAAAAGCATCAAGATTCCCTCCTAGCAACCTCCTCCCCCAGTCCCCCTTAACCTCAACCTTTTGCTCCTCCTCCGAGAAACTCAACAAAATAAGTGCCTTCCTCCCATCATAGCTCGTCATCGTATACGCAAACACGTCCTCACTATCCTTGTACTCATCCAAAATGTCAAACCGTCCATAAACAAAAACATCCTTTTCCTTCTGGCGCAGCTCAAGAACCTGTCTGTAGAAAGCTAACACGCTATCATCATCTTTTTCTTGCTGAGCAACGTTCCAGGTGTCATAGTCGTCGTTGACGCGCATCCAGGGCTTGTCGTTGGTGGTAAAGCCTCCGTTGGTGTCGGCGGTCCATTGCATGGGCAATCGACCGTTATCTCTGGCCTTGAGGCGCATTTCTCTCATGACGTCTGACATATCAGCTCCAGGACCTCTCTTCTTGAGCACGCTGTTGTAATAGTTCAACCCCTCGACATCAATGTAATCCTCGATCTTCCACGACTCAGGCACATTAGCCATGCCAATTTCTTGACCTTGGAGCAGAAACAGAGTTCCACTGAGTGTACTGAGATAAATCGCGAGCATCTTAGCAGCCTCCTTTCGGAACTGGGGCTTGTCCGATCCATAGCGTGATAGAGGCCGTCCAGAGTCGTGATTGTCCATATAAACAGAGTTCCAGCCGTCAAACTTCGGCATAGCTCCTTGCCAACGACTCGTAATTGTCTTGAGCTTGGACAACCTGAAGTCATCGCGTTCGTACTTGTGATTGGGACCAAAGTCCATGTCAACAATATCTCCCGTGAACAACATGTTCAACTCATGCCTGTCCTTGGCAACATAACTAGCGACACTGTCTTCATCTTTTGTGAAGCCTAATTCACCAACAGTCATACAATCGTACTTGTCGATGACCTTCTCTCTCATCTCCCTTATATACTCGTGCATACGCGGACCACTGGCGAAGTACTTATCGCCTGGTTGAAACTCGGCGTCTGGTCGGGTAATAGGTGCGTCGGGAAGATCGGGGTGCTTGGACATGAGGTTCATCGAATCAATGCGGAAGCCATCGGCGCCTTTGTCGAGCCAGAACTTCATATCGTCGTATGTTGCTTCGCGCATGTCTTCATTTGCCCAGTTGAGATCAGGCTGCTCGGGGAGGAAGAGGGAGAGATAGTATTGCTCTGTCGTCTCATCATATGTCCAGGCACTACCACCAAAGATGGAAGCCCAGTTGTTAGGCGGTTTGCGATTTCCATCAGCGTCAAACTTTGGATCGCGCCAGAAATACCAATCTCGCTTCGGTGACGTTTTTGAAGAGCGCGACTCTTTGAACCATTCATGCTCATGGCTAGTATGATTCACCACGAGGTCAAGTAGCACCTTGATGCCCCGCTCATGACACCCAGAGATCAACGCGTCAACATCTCCAATCGTACCGTAAGGGCGATGAATATCGCGATAGTCTGAGACGTCATAGCCCATATCATGCTGAGGACTCTTGAAAATGGGCGACAGCCAAATAGCTGTAGCGCCTACTGAACGAATATAGTCAAGCTTTGAGATAATGCCAGGCAAGTCGCCTAGCCCGTCGCCGTTGGAGTCAAGAAAGCTAGCTGGGTAGATTTGGTAGACAACTGCTTCTTTCCACCATTGGCGATCGGGAGGGGTTAACGCTGACATGATGGCGGGGTCTAGGATGTTCGATTGAAGATGAATGTTGCAATGGTGAGATTATTACTCTGTGTCTGAGGTTTCTTATACCCGATGACTACTTCCCGGTCCGACAATTCTTCTGTTCAATAATTCTCATGTAACATCAAAGAGAGAAGGATCGGGTGATTTCATGACTTGTCTTCTCCACGTCGATCTCGTGCCTTTTCTCTCTGGGGTGAAACTCTCAAGGCTGAATTGTGATTTGTTGATGACTTACCCGAGACCCAAGATGTGCACCAAATCATCGGACCGACAATTTACCCAATAATTATCTGCTCCAGACGCACGGTCCTTTATTTCTCCAGAGGCGAAGAAGCCAATAGAAATTCACCCATTTCACCCATTGACCCACTATCTCGATCCGGGTTGTGAGGATGGTGACATGCTAAAGTCTTCTCGGCCGATGAGATGGGGCGATTTTTCGCTCTCTCTGTTCCCCATGGGGGCTCCAACTATCGGAGAATGTTGAAAGTTTCCGGGGATAATTCTGAAGTCTAAAAATCATGAATTGATATATAATCTCGAGGGCATACCCTCCGAATAACCAGCTCATCATCATAACCTCAATCACCCCTTCACATCCTCACAATGACCACCAAAGTTGAAGCCATCGCCACTGTGTCCGACCATGTCGAAAAGGCACCAGACTCCATCGCCATCCAAAAAGCCATTGACGCTCAAGACCTCACACCCAAGCAACAGTACCAGCGCCTCTGGACAAACCTCAGGAAAGACAAGCGCTTCGTCCTATGGTCCATCTACATCATGTCCCTAGTCTTTGGCTGGGGTTATGATGCTGGTCTCTCAGGTGTAGCTGTTGCCTTCCCTGAGTTCCGAAAGGTCTACGGAGAGTACTACAGCGTTGGTGATCAATATGTCATCCCGGCGCTGTGGCAGTCTCTTTGGAACGCTGCTAGTACGATTGGCCAGGTCTTTGGCGCGTTTCTGGCGGGTCAGTTTGCAGATTGGGTTGGACGAAAGGCTGTTCTTTGGACGGCCGTCGCTCTATCTATTTCGTCTTCTTTCGCGCTGGTCTTTGCTCCCAGTCTGCCTATTCTCTTCGTCTCTAAGCTTCTGCTTGGTCTTTCCGTTGGTCTCTCAACTGTCACGCCTCCTCTGTACGTGACAGAGAATGCACCAGCCGCTCTTCGAAGCTCTCTTAGCTCCCTGACCAACGTGATCATCGTTCTGGGCTTTTTCCTCTCCTCCATCACTGGCTGGGGCTCTTCCAAGATCAAGGGCGAATGGAGCTTCCGACTTGCTTTTGTCATGACCTTCCTCGTCCCTACTCTCTTCGCCATTGGTCTTCCTTTCCTTCCCGAGTCACCTGTTTGGTACGTCAAGAAGGGTCGCGATGACGATGCTCGAAAGGCCATCTTCAAGCTTTATGGTACATCTATTGATGTTGAGGAAAGACTTGAGTTCATCAAGTCTGAACTCGAGGTCACCGCTGGTGAGGCCAGCATGGCTAAGCAGACCAGCTGGAAGGCCATCTTTTCCAAGGAGCACCGAACCAGAACCCTCATTGCTGTTATGGGACTTCAGTCTCAGAACTTCTCCGGTGGATACTTTGCCAGTAGGTAACCATCTATGGGTCCTACCGATTCTAGTACTAACTACCGCAGACACTTACCAGACCTACTACTTCGAACTCATCGGCCAATCCGACCCCTTCGGCCTCACAGCTATTTCCTCAACTCTCCAGTTCCTCTCCAACTGCGTCGCCGTCTGCGTCTCCGATGTCCTTCCTCGTCGAAAGTCCCTCATCGGAGGCGGTACACTTCTCTGCTGCTGGTCCATCATCATCGCCGGAACCTCCCTCGCAGGGACTGCCAACACAGCCGCCAACACCGCCCTCCTCGCCTTCATGATCACCTGGTCGATGCTTTACACCGGTACAGTTGGTTGCTTCGGATGGGCTATCGCTCAGGAAACCGCTGCTCAGGCTACGCGTCCCAAGACTATTGCTTTTAGTCTTGTTTGCCAGCAGCTCACTGCGCTTATGCTGTCTTCCGTGTTCCCCTACTTCATCAACCCCGATCAGCTCAACTGGGGTGGAAAGGTCATGTTCTTGTTTGTTGGTGCAGAGGTCTTCATCCTGGCTACGCTGTTCTGGTTCCAGCCTGAGACGAAGAACAGGACTTATCATGACATTGATTGCCTGTATGCCGAGGGTGTTCCTCCTCGAAAGTTCTCCAAGTATGTTGTCAACGACGGTACCGTTGTGCGAAAGCCCGCCGTGGAGAAGAAGTGATTGGACGAGCAGGGTATTGAGAATGTGATGGGTGTCCAGTATTGTGGATGGGCATTGGGGAATTGGAGTTTGCACTTCAGCCGTTAACATGGGATAGAGAAAACAAAAAGTTTTATAGTATATGAGAATTATAGTATATCAAATGATTCCTTTCTACTTTATTGAGTCACACTCTTGCTCATGTCTCCTACTGCCACGGGTAGAATTATCCACCTCGTCTCTTCTCCATGAGCTGATTCCAGAGCAGTTAGTGCTAAATTCAGTGGATCCTGTGGCGTGCAGCCATGACGAAGTAGTTACCCTGTTCTCCGCGTTTTATAAAAAACCCAATCCCCGCAAACTCCAAACCTTGTCCCAACTGCTTCCAATTAATCAAGCCATGTCAAGTCCAGCGCCGACAAAACCATCAAAAGTCAGGCAAGCATGCGACATCTGCCATAAACGGAAGATTCGTTGCGATGGCTCTCGGCCGTGTCACAATTGCCAAAGCTTGGATATCAGCTGTACTTATTTGGCGGTCCCTAAAAAGACGGGACCCAAAGGGCCGCGATATGCACGGAGGCCTAGACAGCGACCGCCACCGACAGCATTTTCATCTACAAGCCCTGAGATCAACATCCCCAGCATCAATTCAAGCAGCACGGCATCTCCGCCATGTCCGAAACTGTTCATAGAGTCGCCTCAAATGACTGACGCAGTTATTCGATGGTGTCTCGACGCGTACTTCAAGCATAAATACCCACTTACCCCAATTCTACATCGCCCTCACCTCGAACAAACACCAAGATCAACAGAGCAGTATGGCTTAATAACCGCATGTTGTGCTGTGATCGCCCTATCGCCAGAAATACTACCGCCTTGTCCCGTGGAGGACAATTTCGCAATTCCGTCTGCCGATTTCTTAATAGCAGAAACTCTTCGTGCAAGAGAGAATTGCAATCTCATTGAACACCCATCTTTGATACATATCCAAACGTCATTCTTTCTTCACGCTGCATTCTTCTCAATAAATAAGGATAATTCGGCTTGGTATTATCTGCAGGAAGCTATAACGATGCTTCAGACATTGCGTTTGCATGAGGAGACCACCTACACTGATGATGATACAAGCGACCCTGTCTTTGTGAAGTACGCTCAGAGGATGTTTTGGGTTCTCTTCATTACCGAGAGAGCATATGCATTGCAAAGAAATCGACCGATCAGATTGCAAGACACATTGAAGCTCCCAGACGTCGACCCAATGTCGTCTGACGCAGAGATTCTACGCGGCTTTCTTGATCTCATCTCTCTCTTTCGCCCATTCGGCCAAGACTTCATCTCGCAGTGGAACTCCCCAGCATCATCCACTTCGACAGACTTCGCATACCTATTCCGATTGCAGTATCTTCTCAAACATTCGCTTCCGAACCTTTCAAATCACCCCCAAGTCCAACAAGCAGATCTTCTCATATCGCGCCAATGGCTCAAGATCGTCGTCTGGAAATTGTGCGCTTCAAAGAGGGTTCTCTCAACTGCCAATAGCGAGGATGTGATGTCATTGCACTACCCAGCCAGTATCGCACGCGACATCGTGATGGTATCGCAATTACTGCCGACTCAGGCTTTTGAGGCTAATGGAATCGGGATTGTTGAGAAGGTCTTTGATGTTGGCTGCTCGTTGGCGGATCTGCTATCGTTGGTACCTCTGGAATACCAGGGCTCAACTATGGATGTTGGGGTTATTGATACACTTATGGAGACAGTGAAAATTGTTGGGACGAGGTTTGGGGGCAGTTATCGGCACTTGGATATATTGGTTGGTAAGGCGAGCGAGTGTCTTTTAATGAACGTGGATCTAAGTCTCCCTCCACCAGATGATGACAATCAGGAGAATATGGAGGAGATCTGATGTAGTAAAGGTCTTTCATATGAAATTACACCCTACTTAATGTCTTTATCATCTAATAAAGCAGCCCGAGATTTCACTAATGATGAGTGATTCTGTTCGAATAGAACCTGTCCAATCTCTTGACGTCCATTTTCAAAGGCGCACTGCAAAGATGGCTTCCCAGGCTCATCTGGAAGGCTTATGTCTAACACCACGCGCAAGGAGAAGACGCTGAAATATGGCCCCCGCGAACTGCATAGACTAAAGCTGATCGACCTTGTGCTGAATCTTCGGGTTCTTACACTGTAAGAACTTTTCTCGGCTCGAGCTTGCTAACGATCGTGGTCCTTGCATTGCAGTCGGCATCAAAATCTATTAGTTCCTCGATTGACCAGTCGACTCCATGGCTAGCTGCTGCAACAAGACGTGATTGTAGACAGCCGTTACAGCCTGCGCATGCGCAGACTGTTGGATCGACGCCGTGGCCTAACGAGGCCACAACTACTCCTCTTCGATTCGCCTCTGTCATAAATAGGTTTCCGGGCCCCAATATTGGGGCCCGGATCAATACCATATCACCATTTCCAAGCTTTCAATTAATATCAGCACCCTTAGCCAAGCACACTTCAACTCCCTTAGAATCGCTCAATACCTTAAGTATTACTGCCTAACAAAAGCAGACTACCTTTTCACCATAACCTATAATTATAACTCTCTAAAAATTAATTGCTATATATATAACCTTTTAAAACTGGGTTTAAAATCTAAATAACTTAATAATTTATTATAATATAATTGTTCCAAGAAACTAAGTCATAAGAGACACTACTTAGAGAGATAAACTCGCTTAACAGGTAGATGCTATCTTTTTCGAGATAGAGTCTGTCGGCCTAATGTACAATATGCCAGGCCTGCCGACCTGGGGGGTTCATAACTACTCTGATTCTCACACTTTGGCGCTACCGGTAGGCTCTGGCTACAGACATGAAGGAGCTAAGTACCATTCACGCAGGACCTATAGTATATAACCTACCAAAAGCTAGCTAGCTTAAAGCAATAATTCCTACGCAAGCATTAGCAAATATTCAGGCAAAAGAACGAAACAGCACCTTTATTTCTATCCTAACATTTAAGTATCTATCTATCTCCTGGGAGAAAAAAGTTGACTTAAGCTACTGCAGATAACCAGATCAATCTTTGAGCTTGGTCGAGTGGCTAAACTGAACATAAGATAGACAGGCATTATCCGGCTTATATGCTTGCAGCTGAACCATGCAGCTAAACAAGTCATAGCTCCTTTCAGGAGCCGAGCGACTACCGTCCCGGTGCCTTATCTCCATGAGCCCGAAGGCTGGTGGGTTCAGGCTAAAATCTAAGGCAGAGAGCTCTGGTTAGCTGTCATGTCACTGGGACCCACCACCCTTCGGGTTCAAGGAGATCCCTTTAAACCTGAGAAGGCACCTCTGTTGTATTTTTAATGGGGCTTGACCCAGTATTAACTGGTTGCTAATTAATACAATCTAAATATAATAGATAGTATCTTCAATATTATCTGTCTTATTGGTTTAACCCTATAAATATACCTCAGAAGTGCCTTCTCGGGGTTAAATGGATGGAGGAGGGATGACACGTAATCGTTTCTCTCGTGCCAATCACTTCACTGCCGGACCACACTTTTTGACTTGGCAAACGTTCCCGGGCGTAAAGGGGGGTCGAAAGCATCTAGCGATTGGCCTCCTTTGGGGCGTGAGGGTCGGCGCGAAGAGCGGCAGCGAGCAGCACGTCATGCTTATCGTATGCAAATAAGTGATTTATTCCCTCAAACTAAAACCGTGCCTGTCTATCCGTAAATGCTACGAAAATCAGGCATCTCTCTAAGTTCCAGCCTATCTGCTGTTATATTGCCTATTTCAAACATCTCCTCGTTAAACAGAGCGAGATAAATTTTCAAATATTTTATAATTAATACTAAATGATTTACTGAAAGTAGATGTAATAATTATACTTAGTGACGTGACGATTAGCCAACTGTTACCCGATATTAGCTAAGCGATTGGCTTTCAACCCTACAGGTACTCTAGTGCAGGTCCTTATGAGATACTACATACATCTGCAGATAGGCTTCATATTACCTATCATAAAAACAATCAAAGTCGGCAAGGGTATTGCCGTGCAAGGGTCGCTATATGGCCTGTTATACGAGACAGTATCTCCGTCTTATCCGACGAACATTCAACTCTGCTTTATATATTATTCCCTATTGTTTTGATCCAGTGACTTTCTGTGTACCTTGCTGAAGTCTTGGTTTACTTGTACCACCAGTGTTTATTCAGTATCACCTCCCTACAATGACGGAACCTATTGTGTTCGTGGAGGATAATCCGGCAGGCGTTGATTCCGGACATAAACCACGGTTCAGACGGCGTCGTGGCGCGTGTGAGTCATGCAAGCGCCGGAAAGTCCGATGTGAGGTGCTCCATTTCTTGCTTTGTACCTCGCTAATGGTTTTACGACTAGGTAATGGCTCAAACCCTTGCAATCAGTGCCAAGTCAGATTTCAGCTGAGGCAGAAATCCCCCAAGCCTGAAGCTAATTGGTAAGGCAGAAATCATCGATCGACTGCCAGTATAAAGCCTCAAGCTGGAAAACCAATGACGGGTACACAGAACGCGGGCCCTCTGAATCGCCCTTGCCTATTGCAAGGGGGAGTTTAACGCCTCCTCAAACTGTTACGCTACCAAGCCCAATTGGCGCCGTGACTTATACAGGATCAGTGGAAGAGTCATCCGCATCCGGGATTGATGGCTCGGATCCACACAGCCTTTCAATGAGGTTAAGCAATACTGGGAGCACCATCAATACTGATTCAACAGACATCTCGCAATGGCAAGATTGGCTCATCAATAGCGACGTACCTTTTGGGGACAGTATGCAACTGACAGGAACTTCTGACGATTTCTTAACCGACTGGCTAGACCCCCAGCTTGTGAACCCGCCCAATACTGCTGCCATTACGCAAACCCTTTCGGGAGAAAACTTATCTCGACCGTCCGGCTTACTGCTTGGCACGGCGGATCCTCTACCATCGAACAGTGATTCCGACTTAAATGGCACAAGAAACGAGCTAATCGCCAGTTTTTTTCACAAGCTTCGCTCTCAGAGACCTTTCATTTTATGCGATGGAAACAGCGAGACAATACTAAATAATAACATCATGGCTCACAGAGAATTTCATGATACAAAGTTTATTTCTCGATGTATTGATAGTATGTATTGATTTAATTGCACGACATACCGGCTAGGACTAACTTTATTATTTCAAAGCATGCTATGCAGATCCTGAAGGGTATCCTTCCACCTAGCTTTCCATATACTTTGCCAAGTTCTCTAACACTAACAGCATTCGCGTATTTCTGGAGAGAAAGAGTGTTGACTCTGTTGCCGACGAGGTAGCCAAAGGTGCTTCGGCTGTTGATAGGGAAACGTCCGTTTTATTCCACTCCGTAATGGCTATTGGATGTCACGGTTTAAGTCTTGAGCAGGGCCACCACACAATTGGCAAACAAAAATACTCTGTCTCGATGATATTCAAAGAAGCTCTATACATGAGACAGAATTTGCGGGATAAGCCTACTCTTCGGGGCCTACAGGTATGTTGTACAGGTCATTGATGAAAGATTTCTTGAACTGACCGTATTATTTTAGGCTCTTTTGACTATGGTAATTTCATCACCACTTATTAATTTCCAGAGTCCATTCTTACACATGCACCAGGCATACTTTTCAGGCCGAGTAGGCGATGATTCGACTTCGAGCTTGCTCGCAGATGCAGCCGTTTGCGCCCAGACACTGGAACTGCACAGTGCAAGTGCGATTGAAAAGCAATATAATAGCTCCTCGGAACAGCAGGTAGCCAAACGTGCCCTCTGGTTCTTAAATTCACTTGAGAAGCCCCGCTGCCTCGCTGAAGGCCTATTGCCGGTTTGTAGTGCCTGACACTCCCTCATAGCAGCTTTGCCTTGTCCGTACGCCGTGACTGATTCTTTCTGGCGGATAGCTGATCCACGACGATTTAATCGACTATGACCCGCCGTCTTCCGCAAGCCACTCACCAGATGAGGTTGACTGGTTTGCCATCAACGCTCGGTTTGCCACCATCTGTTATTCCATCATAAGGGAGCGACCTCGCGGTAAACTTGGTCGCTCATCACCACGGCGCGGACAAGGCCAGGCGTCTCAGCATAGCGCGAGCTCGACGATAAGCAGGATTGAGTCTCTGTTGGATGAATGGAGAGGTGACCTCCCGTTTGCAAGTGACACTAACGCAACCGAATCCAACGAATTTGCGGCGTTGACGTGTTCGGAGAGACGCCACAGGATTAAGTGTCTGAATAAATACTGGTCCGCCGTCATTGCAACGCATTCAGGACAGGCTCGTGTTGTGGTCGTAGATGGCGGTGGAGGTGTCGGATTGAGTAAAGAACGATGCGTGGAGGCCGCTCAGGAGATTCTAAAGAATAGCCACTACATTACCTCCACCGACATTTTATATGATATGTATGTCTCTGAAGGTGGAGTCTGCCGCCATCAACGGCATGAGCCCTTTTTTCTTTCACCGTTACTCGATATCATTTTCTAAACTGCAGTTTGATCATACTAACAAATTCTCTAGCTCACTTTATTACTATATCACAGTCGCGACACGGGTGATCATGACTGCGGTGATCCGGGAGGCGTTTGCTGGTGATCTTGCAGAGGATAGAGTTCGAAAGAATACGAAAATACCGAGAAAAGAAACCAGGTATGGCTCGTTAACTTCTTATATGGGAATTGCAATTGGTCTCTTTAGTCGTCTTTCTTTAGACATAGACGTTCCTGTAGATGAGGTCACAGAATTAGGGAAATTGGGAAGACAGATAATGAAATGTCAGTAAAAATTATATATTTTTAATTTTATATAAAATGCTTATTATAAGATACTACCAATATATAGTGTGTTCTGTATCACTTATAAACGCTTTACTTTTATTAATTCACCAACCGAAGCACCACGCTCTTGCGCTACGCTATAGTGTAATTTACCCACCGGTAGCCAACTCTTCAAGCCTCTAATCATTCGAGTCCTCCTAACCACCTCAGTGTTCCGCTAAGCGCAAATTGGCAGGTGGCAATACCGGCATGCGCAATCATGTCATGTAGTGCATATACCCGCCGTGGGGATCTTTGCCATTTTTCTTCCGCCATATGTGCCGTGTTTTCCGAGTCCGACACCATGATCCACGGCAGACTTGCTCCTAAGAACTTTGCTCGTGACACGGCAAACGATAAAGGACAACCGTCTCCGTGCAGGTCAGAATACGGCTTCGGCATCTACAAATAGAAATCCGATGTGGTCCAAATACGAAGAAGCCGTCATGATAGATACTGGTCTGAATCGGACTTCCGAAGCCTGGCGATTACGTTAATAACCACGGCCCCATACCTGCGCGTTAGATCAAACCGGATTCTGGTTCTGTAATTAGTCAATGGGGCAATTTCCCCTTTGCCCGATCCGATTGGTTCCGTGGGTGTTGATTGTACTCAGACATCACTGTACTTGACCTGGGGATTCGTGTACTAGCATTTTGGCAACCAGAAGAGAGCAATGGACAGTCTACTCGGTTCTTCATCACGGAACATGTCATTTGTCTAAGGGGATTGTGATTATTGTGCATCCGAGTGCGGCGTGTTCTCTCGGATGGGAACTCCATAGCGTCTAGATTACCGAAGTATCGATGGTGGTTGCAGTTCAGTTATGATACATAAGCATCATAAGATAAAAAATATCATCCGACCAAGCCTTCGTAGCTCATCCACCGTAACCTCATACTCGTTTTCAACAATAGTTATATTATTTTAAAGTTCAACATGGTAGTTATCGAATCACCCCCGAGTACCGCTGTAGGCTCTGCCGAAGAGATACCTCAAGCCATCCACAAGCATGAGGGGTCTGTTTTGCCGGTTGCTATAGTGGGTATGGGTATGAGACTGCCCGGTGGAATCCATACCTGTGATGACCTTTGGAAAATGCTTTTAGAGAAGCGTTCGACTCGGTGTGAAATTCCATCAACTAGATTCTCGGTTGACGGATTCCACAGCCCAACCAGCAAGCCTGGATCTATTGCCATGCGTCACGGCCACTTCTTGGACGACCAAGATGACCTGCAACGGTTGGACACCTCTTTCTTCTCCATGGGGATGACAGAAGTGAATGATATAGATCCACAGCAGAGGATGCTCCTGGAAGTGGCCTATGAGTGTATGCAATCTTCAGGCCAAACCGATTGGCGGGGGAGCAATATAGGCTGTTACGTTGGTGTATGGGGAGAGGTATGAATGGCCGTTGACTTTTACCCAACGACCTATAGCTAATCTGAGTATAGGATTGGCTGGATCTTCACAGCAAAGATTTATACGATTCCGGCACATATCGTGTCTCCGGTGGGCATGACTTTGCCATTTCCAACCGTATTAGTTACGAATATGACCTCAAAGGCCCCTCATTCACCATCAAAGCCGGTTGCTCGTCATCCCTGATAGCTCTTCATGAAGCAGTAAGGGCCATTCGGGCAGGAGATTGCGATGGCGCTATCGTGGCCGGCACCAACCTGATTTTCTCACCGACCATGTCTATGGCTATGACGGAGCAGGGCGTTTTGTCCCCAGATGCTATGTGCAAAACCTTTGATGAAAAGGCAAACGGCTATGCAAGAGGCGAGGCAATCAATGCCATCTTCTTGAAACCTTTAGACGATGCCCTCCGGGACGGAGATCCCATCAGGGCTGTAGTCAGGGCAACATCTTCAAATTCGGATGGAAAAACTCCCGGTATGTCGATGCCAAGCTCCGAGAGCCATGAGGCTTTGATCCGGAGGGCGTACCAGGAGGTTTGCTTGGACCCCAAGGACACCTGCTTCGTCGAAGCACATGGAACCGGTACATCCGTGGGCGATCCGCTCGAGGCCACGGCAATCGCCCGCGTCTTTGGCGGGTCATCAGACCATAAGCTCTACATCGGGAGCGTCAAACCTAACCTTGGACATAGCGAGGGTGCTTCAGGCATTTCGTCAGTTATGAAGGCCATTTTGGCTCTAGAAAACCAAACCATCCCTCCAAACATCAACTTCTCCACGCCGAATCCCAAAATCCCCTTTTCGGATATGAACATGGCTGTTCCAGTTGATGCAATTCCCTGGCCTGAAGACCGAGCACGTCGGGTCAGCGTCAACTCATTTGGAATAGGAGGTGCAAATGCCCACTGCATCATAGAAACTCTCGAAGAGTACCTCGGTGCATCGTTCACAAAGCGGCATCCGGTTCCTCCACTTCAGAATGGAAACGGCACTGTGGGTGCCCATGTCAGCAGTGCCGTCGACAGCATTTCAGCGATGAAAATGGACTTGCGCAGTAAGATGCGTAATAGTGCAGCAACGCAAGTCGCAAGTGATAGTTTCAGCACAGAAAACGCCTATGCCCGCCCTTCAATGGCTCTCTATGTCCTTTCTGCTGCAAATCCGACATCACTTAGGCAGAGTGTGGCGGACTATCAAGGGTATCTGAGATGTCATAAGCCCGACCCGGTTGATGTTTCATATACCCTGTGCAACCGGAGAGAGCATTTGTCGCATCGAACCTACGGCGTGGTTACCACAGAGTCTGTGAATGACACCGACCTCGTCCCTGATTTCTCCCCTCTGTCCAAGACAAACAACAAGACCCCTCCTGATATAAATCTGATATTCACTGGCCAGGGTGCCCAATGGGCTGGCATGGGAAAGGAGCTCATGGACGAATACGAGACCTTCTACAACACGATTGCTTCGTTGAATCTCGTTCTATCCGAACTGGACCATCCTCCAACTTGGGATCTCATTGAAGAACTATCCAGGCCTGCAGATTCAAGCAATGTTGGCCGCGCCGAATTCTCCCAGCCACTTGTATGCGCAATTCAAGTGGCCTTGGTTGATCTGTTGCGATCTTGGGGGGTTGTCCCTTCTGCTGTAGTAGGCCACTCTAGTGGTGAGATGGCTGCTGCATACGCAGCTGGGGCCATATCCTCCCAAGAGGCCATCAAAATCGCTTACTATCGTGGCTATGTCAATCAACAGTACAAGCGAGATGGCGGCATGGCTGCTGTTGGACTGGGAGCCCAAGAAGTTACTCCTTACCTTGTCGACGGTGTGACTATTGCCTGTGAGAACAGCCCCCAGAGCGTTACACTCTCGGGAGACAAGGGTGCACTTGGGGAGGTCTGCCACAAGATCGGGGAGCAATTTTCAGATTGCTTCATTCGCCAGCTCAAGGTCAACGTCGCATACCACTCTCGTAAGTGCAACAGCCGGATATCCTCCAATGAAGCTTTTACTGACAACCCAACGCCGCCTAGATCACATGCAAGACATTGGTCCAGTCTTTGAGGCTCTACTGAAAGACAAAGTCTATAGCCAAGCTCCAGCCATACCTTTCTTCTCCAGTGTTTCTGTCGCAAGAATTACTGAACCAAGGAGACTCGATGCTACCTATTGGCGCCAAAATCTGGAGAGCCCTGTACGCTTCGCTGGTGCTATGAAGCTTTTGCTCGAGGCTCGAGAGAACGTAGCGTCAAAGCAGGTCTTTGTCGAAATTGGGCCTCACAGCGCATTGGCTGGACCACTCCGTCAAATCTTCATGACTCATGGCAAAGGAAAGGAAGCATATGCCTCAGCCATGATTCGTGGCCAAAACTGCACCGAGTCAGTCCTCAGACTTGCTGGCGAGCTATTCTGCCACGGATCATCACTGCAATTGTCAAATGTGACGGCCGAGGGTGATGTTGTCGTTGACTTGCCACCTTACCCTTGGAACCATGACAAGGAGTATTGGTCTGAGAGCCGAGTCAGCAGAGACTGGAGATTCCGTAAATTCCCCAACCACGAACTTCTTGGCTCGCGAACGCTCGAGAGCAGCAATCTACACCCTGAGTGGCGTAATGTGATCAGGCTTGACAAGGTCCAGTGGCTACGAGATCACCAGGTCCTCAATGATGTCGTCTTTCCTTGCGCAGGGTACCTAGCGATGGCGGTTGAAGCGGTGCGACAGGTAGCCGGATCGCCTGAGACAGAAGGTTTCACTTTGAAGAGCGTTGTCGTCCAATCTGCTCTAGTTATCACTGACGCGAAACCGGTCGAGATGCTCACAAGTCTGAGACCCGTCAGGCTAACCAACACTCTCGACTCGGCTTGGTGGGAGTTCTGCATCGTGGCACACAATGGCACTAGCTGGATCAAGCACTGTGAAGGACAGGTCAGGCAAGGCCAAGATGCTCACCAGAAACTGGCCGCCCTCCTGCAAAACAAATCAGTCGGGAAATACTACCCCCGTCTCGTGGACAATCTCTATCCCGAGCTTCAGAGAATCGGCTTACGATATGGGCCATCTTTCCGTGGCCTTGATACTGTCTCCTGTGTACCCAATGGCCAGAAGGCCGCCGCGACGTTGCTTGAGACAACAGTATCGGAGTCGTCCTACGCGATACATCCCACCACAATTGACCACTGCCTCCAACTCTTCTTCCCTGCTAGCTGTGACGGAATCTTTTACCGAGCCGAGAAACTATGCGTTCCAACGGCAATCGGACGCTTGTATCTTGCGGATGGGAAGCTGTGGGAGGTAGAGGGTGCCAGAGCTGAAGCATTGGCCGCGACAAACTCCGGGGGCTCGATTTCTGGGGCCGCTATCGTGGTGTCCCAACATGACTCTGTCCTGCTCTCTCTGGAGGATGGAAAATTCTCCCCACTGGAAATGGATCTTGGAGGGGAAGGAAACGCAGATTTGGTTGGTGCGGCACGTCTCGAATGGAAACCAAACTTGGACTTTGCCGATATGCATAGCCTTGTTCGCCCAAGTCATGGATCTATGCATGATGGACCCGAGCTTGATCTGGTAGAGCGACTTACGCTGCTTGCTATTCTAGAGATCCACGAGCGCATTGATGGTATTGTCACTCCTGAGGATCACGCCAATCAGCACATACTCAGCTTTCGTACCTGGATTGCAGACCAAGTCTCGGCAGCAGTCGAGGGCAAATATCTTGGGGTGGTGGCGGATGCTAGAGAGATCGCATCACTCCAACGCGAAGCTCGAGCATCTTTAATGACCAAGCTCCGTCAACAGGTTTTGGACACTGGAGCTGCGAGCGCTGCAGTCTTGATTGGTCGAGTTGCTGACCACTGCGAGGAAATTGTAAAGGGGAAGCTTGAGGGCATCGAACTTCTCCAAGCAGAAGATGGCCTTACTAATTATTACAATTATGTCGAGTCGCGGACGGACTCTGTCGACTTCTTCGCCACTGCTGGTCACACTCGGCCCACGCTTCGTGTTCTCGAGATTGGTGCTGGCACTGGAGGCGGAGCTCAAGTCATACTTGAAGGACTAACAAATGGCAGAGAACGCCTGTACTCGACATATGCATATACCGACATATCCGCCGGATTCTTCGTCGCGGCTCAGGAACGATTCAAGGCATACCAAGGCCTTGATTTCAGAGTCCTGGATATAACCAAGGACCCCACTGAACAAGGATTCGAGGCTGAATCCTTCGATCTTATCATTGCCGGCAACGTTATTCATGCCACCCCATACTTGAATGAGACTCTTGCGAATGTGCGGAAACTGCTGGCTCCTGGGGGTTACTTTTTCCTTCAAGAGCTTTCACCCAAAATGAGAATGGTAAACTTGTGAGTTGAGTTCCGGTTCAAACCTCGTTTGGCCGAGTTGCAGTAACTAAATTAGTACCTCTCTAGGATCATGGGCATCTTGCCTGGATGGTGGCTTGGAGCCGCAGAAGGCCGAGACAAAGAGCCGTACTTAGCTCCGCCTCAGTGGGACATAGCTCTTAAGGCGGCCGGGTTCTCAGGCGTTGACGCTGCCATTTATGATGCTCCTTACCCGTACCACCTCAATGCAAACATCATCACGAGGCCGGCCAAAGACTCGACAGGGCAGCCGCGAGCAATGAAAGGACGACTAACGCTGCTTCATCGCCCTGGCGATATTGACTCTTCGAGTATTAAGCAGTTGCGTAATGTTCTTGAGTCTTGTGGTCTTGAGACAAAAATGGTGGCATTGCAGGAACACGAACAGCTCAAAGCAGAGAACCAAGACGTCATAATTTCTCTGCTTGAACTCGTGACGCCATTCTTCAGCTCTATCTCAGTCGCCCAGCTGGAATCCTTCCAAAGAGTAGTTGCTGGACTCGGCAGTACAGAGATGATCTGGGTCACACGGCCTGCACAGCATGGTATAGGCGCCTCAGACGACCCTGGCTTCGGTCTTTCGCTGGGTCTGGCACGCACACTACGCTCCGAGCAGTCGTTAGCAATCACGACGCTTGAGATTGGCCAAGTCAATGATGCATCACTCAAAGCTGTGGTCAGTCTCGTGATGAGCATTCTACATCATCAGGAAGATGGTGCTGAATCAACACGCGGCGCCACTAACCTGGACCCGGACCGCGAGTACGTTGTCGATAATGGCGTTATCAAGGTCGCTAGGTACCACCCAGTAGCCTTAACACAGGAGCTTGCATCTAGAGCAGCGAAGCCAGAGGCCGTGACGCTCCAGATTGGCCGGATGGGACTGTTACAGACGCTCGGTTGGATGCCGTTTCCAACGTCTGATCCAGGGTACGGCGAGATCACGATTGAGCCTCGATGCGCAGGATTAAATTTTCGAGTAAGTCCTTTGACATTACCTGAGACTAATTCATCATGATGCTGACAATGGTTGATAAGGATGTACTTCTCTGCATGGGCGTTGTCGAAGCAACTGGTGTTGGCATTGGGCTTGAGGGATCTGGAGTTATCACAAAGGTAGGGGCAAGTGTTAGCGGGCTTCAACCTGGAGATCGTGTCTTCTACCTTGCCGACAACTGCTTCTCCACGCAGTTGACTATTTCTGCTCAACGTTGTGCCAAGATTCCGTCGAAATTGGCGTTTGAGGATGCCGCTACGATGCCATGTGTCTATGCGACAGTTATTCACTCTCTGCTCGACGTTGGCGGACTACGACCAGGACAATCTATTCTGATCCACTCCGCCTGTGGTGGAATTGGCATTGCAGCTCTGAACTTGTGTCGTAACATCGAAGGCCTAGAGGTGAGTTCGAAGCGCTGTCGCGCTGACCTACCTGTCTTGCAATGTGCTAACTCGACTGGTGATAGATATATACTACAGTCGGAAATGAAGAGAAGGTACAGTATCTCGTCGACAATTTTGGGCTTCCGCGATCAAGGATCTTCAACTCCCGGGACGCCTCGTTTCTGTACGATATACGAGCAGCCACAGAGGGTCGCGGTGTTGACCTCGTCCTCAACAGCCTGTCTGGAGAACTGCTACACGCTTCATGGCAATGCGTAGCACCATATGGGAAAATGCTTGAGATTGGAAAAAGAGACTTTATCGGCAAAGCACGTCTGGAAATGGATCTATTCGAGGCTAACAGAAGTTTCATTGGTATTGACCTGGCTAGGTTTGACTCAGCCAGATGTCAGAAGTGAGTCTTTTCCCTTCCTTTCTTTCCTCTACTAAACTTGTTCTCACTTCTCACTTTTACTATCAAATATTGAAAGCTGACATTGTCTCCAAGACTGCTCGAACGCACCGCAGCAATGGTCGAGGCCAACAGCATACAGCCAATCAAGCCCGTCAAAGTGTTCGACGCATCCGATGCCGAAGAAGCCTTTCGATACATGCAGAAGGGAGTTCATCTGGGCAAGATAGTGGTATCCATGCCGCCTCAGAGTAGTACGCTCCTACCTGTATCTCCAAGGCCTCTTCAAGTGAAGCTCAATGCAGAAGCGAGTTACCTCCTCGTGGGTGGACTCGGTGGACTCGGACGTGCTGCTGCGACATGGATGGTAGAAAGGGGGGCCCGGTACCTCATCTTCTTCTCCCGGTCGGCTGGTCTAAGCGTCAGAGACAAGACATTCTTCCGAGAATTAGCGTCCCAGGGCTGTACTGCTCAGGCTGTCCGAGGTGATGTCCTGAGCCTGCCTGACGTGGAACGTTCGGTGGCTTCTGCCCCAGCGGGAAAGCCCATCAGGGGTGTTTTGCAAATGTCCATGGTCCTGCGCGACAAGCCTTTTGCTGACATGAGCTTGGAAGACTGGGATACGGCAGTGAAGCCCAAGGTCCACGGAACCTGGAATCTACATCTCGCTGCACCCAAAGATCTTGACTTCTTCTTTGCAACAGGTTCCATCAGCGGGTCATTTGGTACCCCCGGGCAGGCTAATTATGCTGCTGGTAACACATATCTCACAGCGCTGTTTGAGCATCGCCGTGCCCTCGGTTTGCCGGCGTCTGTGCTGCAGATTGGGCTGATCGAGGACATTGGCTACCTGGCGCAAAACCCGGAACGTGCTGAGGCGCTTAGAGCGGCTGGAGGCTTTTTCTTGCGAACTCGACAGTTGCTCGAGGGTCTGAATTGGGCTCTGCTCTCAAGCGATCCCCACCATCCCGAGTATCAGCTGACGATTGGTCTGCGGAGTGACAAATCACTATCGGACCCAGCCAACCGCGTAATTTGGAAGAAGGACAGCCGAGCTGCCCTGTACCACAACCAAGAGATTGCCACTGACGCTGGCGCCGGTGACGACCAGAGCCTCAACGCAATCCGCCTCCTAGTTGCCTCATGTGAGGAAGACCCAGCGATCTTACAGGACCAGGCGACGGTCGAGCTCGTGACACATGAAATTGGGAAGCGCGTTTGCATGTTCATGTTGCGACCTGTCGAAGAGATGGACCCAACGGCAACGCTGACGTCGCTTGGCGTTGACTCGCTGGTTACCATCGAGATTCGGAACTGGATCAAGCGTACATTCGGGGGCGTTGAAGTTAGCACCCTGGAGATTCTCAACTCTGGCACTATTGAAGGACTGGCAAGGTTAACACTAGACGGCCTCAAGACCCGGTTTGTCCTTGCTGGAAGGAATGGTGGTGATGCATATCTGGAAATGAAGGCTCCATAGAACACTGAACAAGAAGATCACAGATTCTGAGGTACTACTTAACTTGGGCCTTTACATACTTAAATACATGTCGAAAATGCTCCTGCATTATACACTCGTATGTACATGTGCCCTATAATAATGATTACTTACTACTAAGCCTCTCCTTTCGCTAACAGACTGGCCCACAGTAGTTGTCCCCTGTATCATTGTATTCTAGCGGACACCACTATGGAACTTGTTCAACTCATTAAAGGCGTCCTGCAGTATTCAGAGCACGGCAATAATAAGTTTCTGAGTCTGTGCCATACAACCCGCTATCACAACCGAGCCTAATAATTCATCACAATGCTGTTTCCACCACTGCGCAACCAGTGTCTTCACTTCTGGCGAAGGTAAATAGAATGAATACATAACATAGCTACCCCCAGATTGTCCATTCTAACTACACATAAACTTCTTCTACATATCTCCCCTTGTCCAACCCTGCTCTCCATTCTACAACCGTCTTTGCTGCTGTTTCCCCTCTGTTCTGATCAGTTTCCAATAGGATCGGCCCTAGAACCTCTTGCACGTCATTTGCCATCTTCTTACCTCCGCAGACAAGGACCTTGGCGCCGGCCACCCAGAGGCGAACAATTTCATCTCGACATCTTTCGAGCTTCTCAGTAACGTACCTGCAGCCTTGGGCACCTGTGGCAGAAGGGTCACGGCTATAGGCTCTTCGCATTTGCACGATGCCCATGGCTTCGTAGGCTTCCATTTCAATCGAGTACAGAGAGTCAAGCCCGGGTCCTCGACAACCGAAAAACAGGAGGGCCGGCCCAAGCTTCGATTTGGAATCTTCAGCAGCCAGCCTACGCTCCTGTAGAAAGGCTCTGAACGGAGCGAGTCCAGTACCGGCGCCGACCATAATTACTGGCAGAGAATTGTTCTTTGGAAGACAGAAGTATGGTGATGCCGAATGAAGCGAAACGTAAAGGCTATTTCCAGGACCAAGGCTCGAGAGATAGCCTGATGCTAGACCTTGACGATGAACCACCATATCACTACCTGCAGCCTTGCCTTTGCTATCACCGTTCATTTCCTGAGTCCTGTAATCAGCAAAGTCAACGACAGTATAGGTAAGTGTCGCATGTCCTTGCTTCCAGTCAGGCGCAGAGGAGAAGGAATAGGCTCTTGGCCGAAGCTGAACAAGCATTGACAAGAAAGAAGATAAAGACAGGTCAATATCAGGGAATCGCTCCAGGAGGTCCAGGATGGACACATTCTTGGCTTGAATCTCTGCTTTGAATGTGTCTGATGCAGCAAGACTCAAGAGGGAAGCTTTGGTTCTGTTTCTTCTCTCATGACCAGCAGCATCAATGAGGGTATGGAGGTTTTTCAAGGTTGCCGTACGACCAAGCTCTACGTACGCACCCAAGAGGTCTGTAGCCCCGATAGGTGCATCCAATGGTAGGCCCAAGCTCAATTTTCTCGCAGTGTTTCTGATGGTTATTAGAGTGTCCTCGCCTAGCCCGAAGAAATTGAGCGCTCGAACGACATCTCGCGAGTTGTTTCGTGGCAGGACATACACGTGGTCCCCAGCTTTGTAGTTGAAGTCCTTGGGAAGAAGAAGCTCAAGATGTCTCTTCTCAGGGACGCCGGGATTTGAAAGTGAATGTGCCTCTGTCACTATGGCGCGCACGTAGCCTTTGCGCATAGTTACTCGTGGCGGCTGACCCAGTGAAACCTGTAGTGCTTCCCGTGGCCCAGCCCCATCTCCATTCTTCATCACGCTCAGGCCATGGGGTGTTCCGAGCGTCTGGAATAGTTTCTCATCAATCCATCTTTCGAAATCAGAAAAAGGATCGTTGGAATCACAAGTATCTGAAACTCCCAAGGGGGTAATACGTTGAGCACCGCAGCGGGAGAGTTCAGAGTCAATGAGGCGCGGTACTGCAAATAGTGTATTTGCCCAATCTCTATGCCCTAGAAAGTAGATAACTGTCAGATAACTGAGTAATAAGATGAGACGGGAAAACGGCTCAAGAGGATCGGATGGAGGGCGGTGTAAGAAAAAGAAATGAGTAGATGCGGACGTGAAGACTCACCGTTTCCAAAGACAGTAAATTTGACTCCATTTAAACGATTAGTTTCCAGTGACTTCAGCCACGTCACGAACTCTTCGGCGTCATCTGCCGGCTCGCCATTGTAAGATGCCGTGATAATGATGACTGGGATGCCTACTGGCATTCTGTCGACAGCATTATTTACAATATCCACAGCTCGAATGCCAAAGCCGCGCTCGGTGGCTTCAGCGGCAAGACGATACGCCAACGCCTCACAGCTACCTGAATTGGAGGCGTAGAGAACAACCATCTTGCTTTCATTGTCTTTGTCATCATTTGCCTCTGAAGTCAGCCGCTTGAGAAAAGGTCGACCAGCAGCTGCCGAGGCCTCTGGGCCGTGTCCTTGATGAAGTCCCATTGCTAGGTCGGTGGCACGTTGGCCCTGGCGAATTCGAACCTTCATGTTGAAACCTACTGGGCGAACGGTCATGGTGACATGGTACCTAAGCGTGTAGGATTCATCTTTGATGAGGTCGAACTTGTGCACAACCATGGCGACAGCTAACATGGCTTGCTGCATCGCAAAGGGCCGCCCGACACAGGCACGCACGCCATTGCCAAAGGGCTTCCATGCGCAAGGCGGCAGCTTGTCGAAACTGTCTTTCAGCATGCGCTCGGGGCAGAACTCATCAGCGTCAGCCCCATACGTGCTCTCGTCACGGTGCACTGAGTCGAATACAATGAACAGTGGCTGGTCCTTCTTGACCGCATACTTTCCAGCCACAACATCATCTTTCAGGGGCTTGACGTAGAATCCTGGACCGGGATCACGTAGCCGCAATGTCTCACGCAAGACAGCTTCAAGATACGGCATGTTTGAAAGGTGTTCGACGGTGAAAGTGTCAGAACCCACCACTGTATCGACTTCTTGCTGTACCTTTCGAAGCACATCTGGGTTCTCGAGGAGATAATAGAAGCAAAACGACAGGAGACTTGATGTAGTTTCGTGTCCGGCAATTAGGAACGTGAGTAGGTTATCCACGATGGACTCAGGACTGAGACCGTCTCCTGTCTTGGGGTCCTTGGCGTTCAGCATTGCATTGAGCAAGTCGTCTCTATCAACTGGATTTTGTCGCCGAGCAGCAATCAGCTCTTCTGTTTGTCGACGCAGTTCGGCAGCCTGTCGTTTGTACTTGGCCATTGCCCGAAACCGCACGTAGTTGTTTACAAAGTCTGGGAGGTTGCTCTGAGTGAAGGATTCTGTCATGACATCTACCACGGCCGCTGCAAACGGATGCGTGGCTCCATTTTCTCGATAGAAGCTGTTAAAGCGATAGTCTATCGTGCAGAGGGCGATAGTGTCAAGTGTTAACTTAGTCATGTTGTCGCAGACATTCAGAGGGTCGTCTGGCCCGAATCGTGCCCATCGTAGACACATCTGCTCGCAAATGTCCTTCATATCATCAAACATGCCTCTGATTCTCATGGTTCCAAACAAAGGCGTGACAATCCGATGTGCTATAGCCCATTTTGGATTCGATGTTTCCGCCGTGAAGAGGCCGTCTCCTACCACCTCCTTCATCTTATCCAGGGCACCCCCTGGAAGCTTGCAGAAACGGCTTTCATCGCAGAGTTCATGTGCAATTTCTCTGCTCGTCACCATAATCTCGGTTGATGCACCAAAGGTAAGGGAGTAGATCGGGCCTGTTTGATACACATGTATTGACTTGATCAGTTACTGGTCCATGGCTCTGAGCTACTATGCTGAGAAAAATGGGATGGTAATATAACCTACCATGGATTTTTCCAAGTTCTCCCAATGACTTGGTAAGGTTATTGAAGTCAAAGTCAAAGAGATTCCCCAGCAATGGCAAGGCTACATTTTCGATCAGTATGGACTCATCACGGTGGCATTGGCAGAGTATACGCTTCGGGCCAGGAATCGGCTTCAGCTCGGGGTTTGAATTGGAGACCGATCGTCTCTTGAGTAAGGTAGTTGCCGACATGAAGCTAGATGAAGTCGGCGCAAAACAAACTATCAAGGTAGGGTGGTGGTTGAAGGGCCGTTCGGGTTGGGGCTTGTTGATTTATTGTACATAGTTCTTCTATGTCATCCATGATGAATAGGCAATTACTGCGGTTTTATCATACTCTGCACCATCGACGACTACAAACTAGTTAGATGGCTACCCTCACAAACGGACTTTGCGCACCGCCTCTAGGTTCCCTAACATGCCCAACCAGGCCGGCACGTCCAGCGTTAACGGAAACAAGACTCGTCGCGGGTATGTAGCAGACCGGAAGACAAAGGGCGATTTTCGGCTGCGGATCTACAAAAGCGGCAAACCTTCCGCTCGGCTACTGAAATGGGAATTGAGTGGCGGTAAAGAGTCGACAGTCACAAAGAGATGAAAGACTGGTCTCAAATTTAGAAAAAGATGTTGAATTTCAACATCAAGATAATTTTTATTTTACGCGGTGCACACTATCTAACACCGTTGATAAGCCTTCACATTAGATCAAGCCAAGCAAAAGTGGACATGTCGTCGCTTGATCATCACCATGTCCACCCGGCAAACTCCCGGAACCCTAAGCCGTGCGTCTCGTACGGTATTCCGTTCTGGGAGGCCTGCACACGTCACGCAAAAGCCTTCAATTCAACACGTATCTACATTGTTTCATCAAGGTCATTGAGCAAAAGCCAAGCTTTGCAGGATCTCAAAACCTCGCTTGGACTTTTCCGTATTGCTGGAGAGTACAACGGAATTACTCAGCACACGGCATGGGACCAAGTCTTTGGACTTGTGCATGATCTGAAGGAAACACGAGCCGATCTGATCATCACACTCGGCGGGGGCTCGGTCACAGACGGCGTGAAACTGGCCCGGCTACTAGTTGCCAACAATATCATGGCCTTGGAGCAGGCAGAGTCCCTCCTGTCCCGCTGCGAACCGGGCAAGCCAAGCGATGAGAGCGTGAAGCCAGCCTCTATCCCTGTCATAAATGTGCCCACTACACTGTCTGGGGCCGAGTTCACTCGTGCCGCCGGAGCCACATACACAGAGTCCAATCACAAGAAGAGAATCATCATCCACCAGTCCATGTATGCCGATTTCGTCGTCTTGGACCCGGAGCTTTCTCTCACTACCCCTGCACGCTACTGGATCTCAACGGGCATCAGGGCGGTTGACCACTTTGTCGAGGGCATCTATGGCAACATGAGCATGGTGAGAGGCGATACCAGCGGAAGCGACCAGTTCATCGAGAAAGACATCCAGGCGTCGCTGGCTGACTTACTGGTCGCTCTGCTGCAGACAGTGGATGATTGGCATAACCATGACGCCAGGCTACGCCAATTGCTAGCCCTCAAGGACTGTCCTCGCGCAGGTCACAATGGAGTCGGGGCCAGTCATGGGATTGGACACCAGCTTGGACCATTTGGAGTCGGACACGGTGAGACGAGTTGCATCATCCTACCCTGCGTGCTCAAGTATAACTGGAGCAACGGTGATGCCAGATTGCGATCAAAATTGCAGTTGATAATGGACGTGTTCTGGGGAAATGCAGTGCTGACCAAGCTGCTGCTTCTCAGAGGTTTACGTCCCCAAGATGCGGATCCAGGGGATGTATTGGCAGCTTATATCAGTGCCCTAGGAATGCCAAACTCTCTGGGAAAATATGGTATAAATCAAGATAAATTCCATCAGATAGCTGATAATGCTATGGAGGATGTCTGCACACAACTTAATCCAGTCGTGTTGGACAAGGACAGGGTAGTTGAGATTCTGTATATGGCAGCATAGTTATGGGGAATTCAATGAGTTTCAATAGTAAATAGGTTGATGATGCTAAGATATAGTTATATTGTCTCATACAAGACAACTTCAAGTGCCATTCAGTCGCTGCAAGTGTTCTATTCCAATTATTATTTCACATCACAAGCCTCCAGAGAAGCCTTTTGTAAGGCATCTCCCTGCAATTCAACTCAACCATATACCTATCTATGTCACTACTCTATGTACAATCAGGATGTCCCTCGTGACAGAATCTCTAATACCTTCCCAGACATCGCTACCTGTACAGGGGTAGGCGATGTTGAAAACACAAAGCTCTTTGAGCTCACCGTGTGCACTTCAACAAATGGGGCGCTACTAATGATGTACCCTCCTTGCTGACCGAATGCGTTGAAGAACGAACCTGTGACAACAACCTCCGTTTTGGACGCAAGCTTCTTGCCGATGATATTCTTCAAAAAGGAAACACCATGCTCTCTTTCCATCAGGTCGAGATATCCGAGATGCCGAGGGCCAATTTTTCCAAGACCCCTGCTGTCGTCAAGGATAAGCCTCAATCCTGCGAGTCGGATGGGATCGGCTGTCTCGGATGTAATCCTCTGAATCGTCGCTGGCAAGTCGATTATGCTACCATCATCGTTGGTAGTCTGCAGATACAGAGTGAGATACAACTTCGGAACAGCTCCGGACAACTTTCGGAGCTCTGCAACCAAATTGTCCAAATTCTCATAGTAGATAATCTTCGTATCAGATCTTGGGCGATTCAAGTTTGCACCATCTTGAACAGCGCGAGGAGCGGTAGCTGGAATGAGAAGGATATTCATGATGCCACTTGCATAGGGGTTGGTGCAAGCACTAAGTAGTGAGAGCATCATAGTATGAGCATCAGTCCCGATCATTGCTTTATAGTTCAAACCGTATGTTAGCATCATATCAGTCTTGGCTAGAGCCACGCTTCATGTAGTAACTGACCTCGGCATCGTCCCGAATGATGCTCTAGCGATGGATATAGATTGGCCAACCGTCTCTCAAGCGCAATGAAAACATCAAATGTCCCGTAGAACCACCTTGCAGAACTAGGACCAAGGCCATATTTGTAGAAAGCCTTGACGCTTGCTTCTACAGCCTCTTGGCTTTGTGGCAAACTCAAAGGTGCTATTCCTTCGAGGTCACCCCCAGGGTACTTCTTGGACAGTCCTTCGACATAGGAACAAAGTGAGGCATCCGATTTGATACTTTGTTCAACAATAGCGGGATCGTCGGGGTGTTGCTTTGGGAGTATATCAGGGGTAAAGACAGTAGAAGTCACGCCTTTGATCTGGAGCTTGCAGCTCACTTTTGTAATCATGTTGATCAAGTCAAGCGTGTCTTTCCAAGATGTAGTCGCAAAGATGCAAACTCGAACTCGACAGGACCTATGGTCCAAGGTCAGTGCGTCTTCAGGTCTCTGTTGAGCCCATAACAGAAAGAAAGGATCCCTACCATAATGGCGTGGCTGGAGGCACACCACAGGCGACTGCAAAACCTCGCTGCATTGCCTCCTCATGGAATCTAGACGCTTGCTGGATTGTTCCTGTGGCAGATTAGATTCCGCGTTCCTAGAGCACAACGCCATTATGACCTAGAGTAACTTACCTACTGGAAAGCAGACAACAGGAGAGCCGCGCGAAGAAAGTATACAACAGCCAGCTTGTGCAAGACAATCGGCCACGAAACTTGCTTTTCTCTCAAGGGTAGTCATGCGATCCTGGATGAACTTTGGCTTATTGATCAAGCTCAAAATTCTCACCAATGCCACGGTGGAAAGTGTCTCGGCCCCATTCTCATGTTGCAATGCTCTCTGTCGCTCAAGTGCAGCAGTATAGATACCGTTGGCGGATACAAATCCGCCAATGCAGCTTACGCTCTTGGACATAGTTCCGGTCATGATGTCGATTTCCTCTAGGGGGCAATCATAACCACGATCTTGCCACCACTCAAAGGACCCACGGCCGCCTTTTCCTAGTGCCATAAAGCCATGGGCTTCGTCAATAAGGAGGCAAAAGTTGTAAATCCGCCGAAGGGCAAGAACTGCTGGACCAGGAGACAGGTGGCCAGCCATACTTCCCATAAGTCAGCTGTTTGTTCTCTTGGTCGTCATGAATCAATGGATCCAGGTTCACTTGCCTGTAAATACCCTCGACAGCCACACAGACATGTGCATCTGGCTGCTTTGCTCTCAAGATTCGTAGTTTATACTCCAGATCCGTGATATCATTATGCTTGAATCTATGTGTTGTCGCTCGCTTGTTGATGAAAGCACCAGTAAACATGGAGGCGTGCGATTCGGCATCGAGCAGAAATATGCACTGGTGACCCAACTGCTTTGCCGTCTCCGCTACGGTCTGGAATGCTAAAAGGTTGGCACTGAAACCTGATGTGGTGGTTACGCATGCCTTTGATCCAATGTAGGCGGCCAGTTCTTGGTGAACGCGAGACGAGAGTTCAATGGGTGCTGGGTTGAAAGGGAGCAACCTAAGGGTTGATTCAATGAGTGAGGCGCTGTTGTGCTCGGAGCGAGAGAAGCCCCCGTAATTGTTGGAACCTGCATTCACGATTTCTCGTTCCGCACATGCAGAGAAATCATCGAGTTCCTCGTAATCGCGTGTCATGGATGAGGGAATCGTTCTGACAAGAATACGGTCATGTGGAGCACTGAGCAGGATACGAGGATTTAGGCGGCCTATTGGAACATACTGAGCATATTATCGTCAGCTGTTGCGTTGATAAGAACAGGGATCTCCGGAGCTCTTGTCATTCTGCATCAAGTCTCTCAGCTTTACATACAAAATAGTGTCCAGCAACATCGTCTCTCTGCAGTGGTTTAAACCAGCGCCGAGTTTTGAGATCTCGCCAAACTTGAATAAGCATGATGGTAAGAACCCAGATAAAAAAGTTGATCTTTTTCTCTAGATCGACCGGAGGTTCTCTGGGTGCCTGAAGCTGTTTCCCAACAACATGTTTGCTCTCATCCATCAATCTCGGGCGGACGATGCTCTCATGGCTGACAATGACGTTGGTCTTGGTCTCAGTCGACATGATTAAATTGGTGAATCAGTAAGCTGAATGTATAAATGGGTGTCTGATGGCTTGTTCAAAGTTGCAACATAACCTGTGCGAAAGACTAGATTTTAAATATAACGCACGGGGATTATGCCCCTACTTCTGCCTCTATTTTCTAAAGCGGGTCCTTAAGCGACCCTCAGATCGGTTGGAACTGATACCAATTACTCAGAATGATCTTATGAAACCATTCGGAAGCTCGGATACCCTCTATAGCATGTGTCGGATGTGTGAAACGATACTTCCGAGCACTGTTTCCGTGAGTGGAGGCGGGTATATCGTTATTCCTTACCGGCTCAACCAGGCGCATATATTTACTACTCCTTATGGTATGTCTTTAAAATCGGGAGATTTCATTCTAAGCTCTGCAGCTTCGTCATGCACACCCGTATTTTCTTTAGCCGAAAGACCATCGCAAGAGTATGTTTTTGGCAATGAGAAATCCGTTTCTCGTCAACTGGGCGGATATTTAACCTTATCAAGTTTAGCTTTCGATAGATTAAACGGTATCAAAGCGCGCGGAGTTATTTATGCCAACGCCCAACGATGGCATGGCTTCTGCTTGAGAAAGAATTTAGAATGCAATGCCAGTTTCGCAGTATCTCAATGCCGATTTTTAAAACTGTCAGTTCATGCACAAACTACTTCGAACTATATAACCAGAGCCTTCCACTCACTTATCAATGCCAAGATGCAAAGCAAGTTCAGAGTAGTCCTTAGTCCATAATCCTGGAGAACTTCGCGGCCACTGAGAGCGAAAACCCAAGCAACGTTGGGAGCGGACTGGGAGCTTCTTTGCGGTATCCATGCTAACAATAAACGGATGAGCCTCTTCAGGAGCAAGGAAGTTGGCGCAGAAAGTAACAGCCAAGCATCCACGCTCCTGGTCGGTTTTATTCTCACCCGTGCCGTGAACAACCTTTCCACTAATAAGCAGGCAATCTCCAGCCTTCATTTCAGCCGCAATCGTCATGTCTCGGTCGCCGTGCTGGTTGAATTCCCACTTATGGCTTCCAGGGATGATGCGAGTGGCGCCGTTGGCCTCTGTGAAATCAGTCGTGGCGACGAGGAAGTTGATCTGCGCTTCTGGGCCGTCTTTGCCCACCATCAAGAAGATTGGGTACGCGCCCAGGTCTCGGTGCAAAGTCTGTGCTTTCTGGCCAGGTCCAACATGGATTGTTGAAGCACTGCTCAGCCAGTAGGCATCTTGGGCCAATTTTCCTCGGTAGGCAAAACATCGCCCAGAGATGGCGTGGATGAAGTCGTTGTCTAAAAGATGGTCGCGGAAGATAGCGCTATTGTTGGTGAGGTCACCTGCGCGCTTTGTGTTCATGCCGTGGAAGTTCTGCAGACGCACATCGCTTGCATGGCCCCCAATAGCCACCTTCTGTAGGATTGGATCCATCTCTTGATTCAGTTGCTCAACCTGATCTGGCGTAAGGAGGCCTTTGATTATAACTGCGCCATCCTCCTCCCAGTATTGGAACACTTCGTCCAGAGCTGTAGCCGATGTGACTTGACCAAGCTCTGTGCGACCATTCGGCACCGCAGTCTGGGGAACCTTTTCTTTATTCATTATGGTTTAGATGTGTAAACTGTCTGTAATCTTCAAGATAAAACGGCTTGGTTGTCTTGTTTCCTATCAGCTATGCCTATAACGGTCATATATAATATCATTGAGCTCAAGGGGATGTGGAAATCCGAGACGGAGTGTCTCTAGAGCTAGACATATCATCCGGATGGGCCACCGGATGCCAAATCCGTTATCCTATTGCTTACTTGTCACAGAGTACTACAATGTAGTCGAATACACACTATGGTACCCGTTTTGACGGATGCCTCTCGGATAACCAAACTCAGCTGTTACCGTCAAAGAATCTAGCATCTCGCGAAGGAAGCCAGGCTGTCATCCCGTCTGTTTCTCAAGCTATTTGAAATATCCAATTCTCGTTCTTTGTTCTTTGGGGTGAAATTGTCAACAAGGTCTCCCACAATACACATTTACTACTTTGTCACTATGGATACCCTCACGCATGTCCTCTTACTTCCAGAGGCCCTGGAAACACTCGGTTCTCCCTCTGTTATTATACCTCGGGCTTCATCCACGTCAGATGAGGTGGTCTCTTATGCCCATCTTACTGACTTAGTACAATCGCTGCAGCAAGATCTCGCTGCGCTTGGCATCTCCGCCGGCAACAAATTAGCTTTGGTATTACCCAATGGACTTCAATATGTCGCCATTTTGCTTGCAGCGATTCGGCAACGTGCTATTTCGGCGCCAATACATCCCAACTCCACGCGGGAGGAGTGCAAGCAGATCTTTTCTCTCATGGTGCCGGATCTAGTCGTTGTGATCTCGTCTGGATCCAGTACGAATGGGCTGCAGAGTGCGCAGGCGGCTGTGCTTGCGGCTCAGGACCTGAGCTTGCTAGTGGCCTCATGTCACGCATATCCGCAAAGTGGACGACTCAGCTTTCGGTTCGCACTATCACGAGTAGCCTATGAAGCTGGAGCTTCCAAATATCCCGCCCCCTGCGCAGAGTATTCGCGAGACGATGTTATGGCAGAGGACAAAGTCCTTATGTTATTCACTAGCGGAACCACCGGACGGCCCAAGTCAGTTCAGCTTACACACACCAATCTTCTCGTTGCAATGCGTATAATCATAGCAGCGCACAGACTCACATCAAGAGATCGGTCATTATTGATAACACCACTGTTCCACATCATTGGCATTGCAGGGAGTTTGTTGCCAACCTTGTTCACGGGAGGCTGTGCCGTCATACCGGCTTCTCTCCCAGCAAGCTTCTGGCAAGATTGTCACGACTACTCCATTACATGGTATCATGCTGTTCCAACGCTTCATCAACTTCTACTTTCATTTCCTCTGCCAAAGGATGGTGTGCCAACGACATTGAGATTTATACGCTCTGGTGGCAGTGACATGAGCCCTTACTTATTCAACAGATTACAAAAATTGGGAGTTCCGCTGTTGGAGGTCTACGGAATGACTGAGACGGCGCCAGCAATATTCTGTAACCCTTTTCCAGTCACGGGTACAAGCATCACTATCCTGAGACAGCCAGGTCAATACCCGATTCCCGACGCTGTGGATGTCATGATACTCCCACCGGAGCGAGCATCGAGCTCCGAACCCAATGGGGAGCTTGATGAACCCAAAGACAAGGATCCTGTATCGAGACTCACCAAAGAACTTGGTGTTCGGGGAGAGATATGTCTTCGCGGTAAGAACATCATGGCGGGTTATACAAATAACCCGACCGCCAATGCGGAAGCATTTCTCCCAAATGGGTTCTTTCGTACAGGTGATCTTGGTGTAATACTTCCACGCCAATACCTGGCCTTGATTGGAAGAGTCAAAGAGATTATCAATAAGGGCGGCGAAAAGATCAGCCCTGCCGAAATCGAACATGTGGCTCGGTTACATGATGAAGTCAAAGATGCTGCTTGTTTCCGGATCAAGGAGGAGATATACGGTGAGATTATTGGTACGTGATAGCTCTATGAAGAGGCATTTGGAAGCAAATACAGGGTCCAACATGACGATTTCTTCAACTCACATGACACACAGGCCTTGCCATCGTAACAAATCCGGCAACCAAATCAATCACACAAACGGTTATCAAAAAGCATATGCGTCACCATTTAGCCATGTTTAAGGTGCCAGACAAGGTAAGAAACGACCATCCATTAAAAGGGGAGAAGGCCGAAGCATGCTGACGCTCCTACGCCTAAGGTCTTGTTTGTTCAAGAAATCCCGTATAATCGGACTGGCAAGCCAAGAAGAACTTTACTTTCGGAACTGTATGATAAAGGAGGGCTAATATAGGGTCAAATCAGGAGGCAGAACAGAGATCAAGTTTTGGATATGGAGTACATGTAATTTAGCTGGGAAGCTGCTGTTCGTGAGGGTTACTAGTTGAATCATAGTTATTATCACATGAATTTTATTTTTACTTATACAATCTTGTCCAGTGCGTTGCCTTGATATGCCTCGTTGAGATGTCGCAAGCTTTAACTATCAATCAATACATCCTTGTCCCCTTTGTCTCCCATGATACAGTCAATTCTTTTCATGGCACGCTCCGCTATACTTTACAGACAATACAGGCCAACCCATTTACGATAAGCAAAGGGTCAACACACTGTCTATAACTCTCTAACGGGGCTAATTACATCCAAACCCTCCATCACTTTCTCATATACCATAAACACAATCCCACCGCTCATGACGAGTCTTGTGGAGCGAGCTACCGCACCCCTCCAGAGGGCGAGAACACCTTCTTGCTCCAGGATGTTTTTCGCGCAAGTGAATGAATTCCTATATCTTGTTCTTGCTTGAAGCCCTTGCATGCGGGTCTTGATAGTGTCGAGCGGCTGTGTCAGATAGACGGTGATCAATCCAGCAAGACTTCCGATGATAAAGGTGTCGACGGTGCCGATTCTCTTGTTCTGAGGGGTGCGTGATTGCACAACTTGCTTCAAGAATGTGTAGGATCCTAGCCGGATAGCGCTGCCTGCAGACTGTCGAGCGGTGGTTGGCCAAAATCCTTGGAAGAAGCCCCTCAGACCATGCTCCCGTGCAATGATGGATATTGCATGAATCGAATTCTGGATTCTAGGCTTCTCTAATCTGCGGTCCTCAATACTGCTACACGTCAGAATGATTTTGAGAAGAACGGGAAAGGGATTTAGAATGTACATCACTGTCTTGATTAGCTCAGTCGGTGTTACAGCCAGAAGCGACTCAGTCGCTCCAGCACCGAAGCCTGCCACAAGAATTCTGGATCTGGATATGTTCCCATTGGAGTCGGTAAGTAGTTTCTGATAGAATTCGAAGCATACGAATCCTGAATCGTGAATTAGCCAGTTCATCAAGTGTTATTATGAGCATGGGAGACATGCTGATGCTTGTTTTCACCGAGTTGCCTATGAGAAATGGCATGCATCCTGAATACCACTGTAGTCCGAACTTTGGCCATGGTACATTCTGCTTATTCCGGCCTGTATCTTGATTTAGCTGCAGCCGCGTTTTCGCAACTATGTTGAATTATCTGGATTAGCGAATTGTTGCTCCCTTCGCAACGGGCGTCGTGCTGGTAACACATAGCCTCAGAGTCACCGCACCGTACATTCTATAGGATACGTAATCGCTTGCATCACAACAAGTTAGCTCCCAAGACGTCAATAGTGGATGGTTAAAAACATGCCTATCTCAATTCCACCAGCAACAGACCCTGCAATTAGCGAATGAAATGTATCCGAAGTCCTGTGTCCTACTGGTGCTACAGGTATATTATAGAGGGACATTGTGGTAGTTCAAGACAGACAGCAAAAATTGTCAGAGAAGGACCGCTTCTAATTAAGAATATTCTTTAAAAATGCTGATAGTCAAACAACAGCCTTATCAATATCATAGCTGGCACTGGGCCTCTAGAGAGCAGAGCACATACACCCCACTCGCTATCTCCCTAGTAACTGGTGTATTGGGGCAATTCCCCAGGTTTCCACTTCAGGACATCCGTTTACGATCTGCCGAGAATACCGGACCGAGACGCCGGCAGATCGCTCCGATCGGTAAGCCTAAGCAGACTGTTCCAGTTCCGTCACCGACTTGAATGGGTGGACTGGTTGAGCGATCTGTGGTGGCCATCTCTTTTCTATTTCTCCGGAAAGGCATTTGTGCATGCAGCATAAATAAGTTCCCTGAGATAGTCTTGCATTGTGTGGCTAGCAATCCATCGCGCACCTACAATTTTATAACAATATCAATACTGTCCTCCTTGATCATCCCATCTGTCGTTTTCAAGGGAGATTTAAGATCTCAATTTTTGTCTCAAAATCCGACATGTATCACATTGAACCCATCTGGGATGCCAGGTCGTCGCTATGCTTAGCTGCTACAATTGTGGCAATGGTATGCTGTAAAAGATGATCTAGACATGGTCAAGGCTAACCAATGAGTCAAGCTGGTCTTGATTGGAATTGGTGTGATTATGTACAACATCTTCCTCCATCCAGCGTCCAAGTTCCCGGGACCAACGATCGCTGGTGCCACCAGTCTTAGGTACCATTGGGCCATGTCTACGGGGAACGTCGCGCCGTGGTTACGGGAACAGCATGCTAGATACGGTGAGATCGTGCGTATCGCTCCAGACATGATCAGCTACGTGAACCCCGACGCTTGGAGAGACATATACGCCTACAAGCCCGGTAAAAAGGAGCAGAACGGGATCGACTGGACCATTCCGTCTCGCGACGATGATGTTCCCAGCATGTTCTCGGAGGCCAATGATGCGGAGCATAACCGTGTCAGACGTCTCTTCTTGCCTGCTTTCTCTGACAGAGCTCTGAAACAGCAGGAACCTCTCCTTTCAAAGTACAGTGACCAGCTTATTGACCTAATTCGCCGAGGCATCGATGACAACAGCAATCAAGAGTTTGACGCAGTCAAGTTGTACAATTTCACTACCTTTGACATCATGGGCGATCTCACCTTTGGAGAACCTCTTGGTCTGCTGAAGAATTCTTCGTATACAGAATGGGTCCAGAACCTTTTCCACGACATCAAGACCGTTGGAATATTTCTCTTCATCTTCGACTTTCCCCCACTCCCGTGGCTAGTTAGAAAGTTCTCGCCACCATCAATCCAAAGGGCACACGAGATCCATAAGAGGCACACTGTTGAGCGTGTCAATCGGCGGCTCGAAAGAGGCCTTGATCGACCAGACATCTGGAACCTGGTTCTTAGCCAGCCAGAAGGACGAGGCCTAACACGCGCTCAGATGCATGCTAATGCGGACATCTTCATGATCGCTGGTACAGAAACGACGGCTACACTGCTTAGCGGCCTGACTTACTTGCTACTGAAGAACCCTGAAAAGTTGCAAAAGCTCGTCAAGGAAATCCGTGGTAGCTTTGGGTCTAGTGAGGAGCTTACTGTTGAGAATCTTGCTAGGCTGCCGTATCTCAGTGCGTGCCTCAGCGAAGGGTTACGCTGTTATCCACCTGTTCCCATCGGGCCCTCTCGCCTCACGCCCAAGACTGGAGCCGACGTGCTCGGAGAGCACATTCCAGGTCGCGTAAGTATTGCCTAAGACATACTGCTTCTCGATCTCGCGTCGTCTGTCTAACCAGGTTCTTGGTGTCATTGATATAGATCCGACTTACGATACCACAATGCGCGGCGTATTACTCCGAATTGAACTTCAAAGACCCGTACTCTTTCACTCCAGAGCGATGGCTCCCAGATACTGGATATGAGAATGATCGGAAAGGTATTCTGCAACCTTTTTTGATTGGCCCCCGAAATTGCATTGGACAGAAGTTAGTAGACCCTAATATCTTTGAAAAATGAGTCTTACTGACACATCTACCTATTAGTCTAGCTTATCATCAGATGCGCCTGATTCTTTGTAAGGTGTTATGGCATTATGATATAGAGTTGTGCTCCGATAAAGGAAACTGGCTCCTGGATCAAAAGATGTATATTTTCTGGGAGAAACGCCCCTTAATGGTAAAATTTATACACGCACAGAAGTAAGAGATAGATTAAGCAAGGTTGGGTGTACCATTAAATTTAGACTATAAGATCTAGCTATACATATGCACTATTTTTAAATAGCTTTATTACCTTCTCAGTTGTCTATGTAGCTTATAAGAAGAGAAAGTATCTTTGCTTTTCGAACAACGTTAAAAACGCGGTTCAAATCAGGCTAAGTTAGGCGGCCCCACAGCTGGCTATACCGAGGAAGGGGAAGCAGCTGATTGGATAGACACTTCGGGTACCTAATGCAGTAAAAGTGATGAGGTCACTTGATGCTCGGATACCGAATTGGGTTATCCGCAATATACGAATTTCTGATGTCTAAGTTTCTGGTTGCCCATACCATCCTCGTTTCTTGCATTAGACCGTAGCTGTTTGATTCCAATTACCTCACGGGCAGAATGAGAACATTATCTCCACTCTTTCTAATGATATAACGAAGAAACTATGGGTCCTCTTGATGCTGTCGGTGTTCGGTAGCAAGTCGCATATATCAAACATCAAGTATTCATTGCACATAATACTAAATAGCTGTCACACGCCCCTTGACTGGTCCAAGCCCATCCTCTTCAATTCTCTCTCTGCTTCAGAGCAAACTTTATACGAACCAGGCGCAATAAACGACTAGACACAGCTTCCAAAACACACAAAATTGTCATCTTGCCCACCACATGCCACCAGCGAATCAAAGATGAATGGGGGCCATGATCTTGTACTTCTTACTGGCGCAACCGGACACGTGGGCTATGCTGTGCTTGTCAAGATCCTGCAAGCAGGCTACAATGTTCGCGTAACACTACGTGAAATGAGCCAGGCAGACGCCATCCTCTCTTCTGGCCTTGTCAAAGAAGCTCTTAGTTGCGGAAAACTTGACATCTCATTCGTTCATGTTCCCAACTTCACGGCACCAGATGCCTTTGGTTCTGTTCTTTCAAATGTCACCCAAATTGTTCATGTTGCAAGTGCTCTTCGCCGAGGCCCAAGCACAGACCTGAAGGGCGCAATAATCGACGTGGCAGTCAAGGGCACAAAAAATATCCTCCGGGCAGCTCAGAGTTGTCCTTCTGTAAGGAGAGTCGTCATTACATCTTCAACCTCTGCCATCGTGGACCCGCATCCCGCTGTGAATCAATCACCGACTGGTCGCTGTATCACGCCGTCGGATCGTCACGTTGACTATGATGCCGAGTATTACCGAGGCAACTCACACAAGGCTTACACTGCAGCCAAGACTGCAGCTCTCAATGCCACAGACGCTTTTCTGGCTGCAGCCGGTGGTGGCGGAGGAACCTCACCACTACATTTCGACGTTATCAACATTATGCCATCTTTCGTGTTTGGGCCTAAAGGCCTGGCCGCTTCACCAACTGATGTGATAAATGGCAGCAACATCTTCGGCATTGGTGTTGTCATGCGCCACAATCCATGGAAAGGTATCAGACTCGAGGCACTGTGCTGCCATGTTGACGACGTTGCACAGATCCATGTGAACGCGCTCGATGAGCGTGGACTGCTCCCACTGAAACCTGGAACACATCGAGATTTTATCCTAGGCGTCAAGTTCAAGCCGGAGGATATTCGACAGGTCGTGAAGAGCAGATTCCCGATCGAGTTCTGGGAAAACGAATCCGCTGTTTTTGGAGCACGTGGCACGTATGAATGGTATCATATTGATTATGATTTTCGCCCTGCAGAAGATCTACTTGGGAAGCCTTTCAAAACATTGGGGGAACAAATATACGACAGTGGAAGTCAGGTTTTGGGAATGTCGAAGGGATTGATGACAAAAGCATAGGACTTAAACGTTCTATATGACTTAAACATGCATGAAAAGACTTTGATTTCGGCATTTCTTACCATAGCATACCTCGCAACTGTTGTTTTACTAATGCTGATATATCTTTCTCACCCCAGTTCGTCCACATTCCCTTGCCATGCGTTGTATTCGTCTTTTGTTTTTCTCTGGGCCAATTTAATTTCTTGGTAGAAGTAAGGCAATATGTCCAGGCACGAGCTCGAGCTGCGTGATGAAAAAAGGTTTGAACAAGAGGCGTAAACTTCTGAATTTCCCAAAGCACTCTAGCTATCCGAGTCCAACAAGCTTGTAATGGGATCCTCGGACCCTTTAGCCAGTTCCGCTATGAAGAATTTAAAGTTTGCGAAGAATGCCTGCGCCTTATCATGATCAAGGAGCTGCGATTGATAGTACATTCGAAGTCGCAACTGACCTTGCTTTTGTAAGGTTGACAGCAGTATGGCCCAATTACTCTTGAACTCATACTGCTGCAAGTCTCTCCTCATTTTTATTGCTGTAATGTTCGCCTCGGCCTTATCCGCAGTCCAGGATTCGTTTCCGAAACCGTATAGCTCTGACTTCAAGTTGACCATTGACTGCACCCATGGGTTGCCCTCAGCGTCCGGGTGGATGTTTGGAACAACCCCCTGCTCCCATTTCGCCGTCTCCAACACTTCTTCCTTTACCTTGTTGAGGAACCTTTCGGTTCCTTTTTCGGTGTCATCAAGTTTCACACGGAACGGTGTCCCTGTTACCAACGGGCCCATGACTCGACTCAAGTCCATGAACGAGTCGGAAGATCTTCCATGGCGAGCAAGCCCGAACGCGATGTCCTTGAGACCAGAGTGCTTTGATAGGGCCATGGCCCAGGCGGCCAGAATGACATGGGATGGATTTATTTGACCGCGCGTCCTCCGTGACTGAGTGACAACTGGAATCGGGACAATCTCAACCAATTCACCATCAAGC